GCACTGTCCTCCTGCTGAGTTCTTAGAAAGAAGCTGAAGGTCTCTCTGGGCCTTTTTTATGAGGACATTAGTCCATTCAAGTGAGTTCTCCTCATGACCCAATGGTTTCCCCAAAGCTCCACACCCTCATATGTATAGCGGTCCTCAGCTTCTTTGGCGCTGGTATTGTGGAAGATAATTTTTTCAAGGATGAGAGCCTGGGGGTGGTTTCAGAATGATCCCAAGGAGCGCACAACCTAGGTCTCTCATCTGCGCAGAGCACAGTAGGGTTTGTGCTCCTATGAGACTCTGATGCCACACTCACCTGACAGGAGATGGAGCTCAGGTGGTGATGAGAGCAACAGGAAGCCACTGGAAATAGAGATGAAGCTTCACTCGCTCACCACCACTTACCTCCTGCTCTGTGGTCTAACAGACCACAGACCAATGCCAGTGCATACATGCTGGAAGGCTGTGCCACAGTCAATGTGCCACTGTCCCCAGTGCATATTCCAAACCTTCTCCATCACCTCCAGTGAGAGATGCAACTTCCTGCAACCCCACAGCCGCAGTCCAGGTGCAGCTCTGAGTCCATGGCACTCTGCTTCTCAGAGGGCTCTCCTTGGCCCATGACTTTCCAGTTCACATGACTTACCCACCAGTCACATTGGAAGCTAAAATACAAGGCAGAAGACTTTGAAATTCTAAGAGGGAAATAAGTTGTAATTCTATCCAGCCAAATTGAAACGACTCCTTAGACATGAAGTGTCTCTGGAGAATTGCTCATGAGATTAGGAGGGCTACGAAGTCTCAAGACCTACAGTCACTAAGCAGAGACCCCGGAGGGCCAGTGTGTAGTCCCACTATAAATCTGAGCACCTGAGAACACAGAGAGGCCATCATGTAAAGTGGAAGCTGAAGGCTGACACAGTCAAGACCGGGGGGGGGGGGGGGGGGGGGGGGGGGGGGGAACGGGGACTGAAATTTCAGTCCTACCTGTAGGGGGCGTATCTGCTTTACTCAGTCTCCTGATTAAAATGTCATAAACACCCTCAAGACACACCCTGAGTAAGATTTGGTCAAATGTGAGGTACCTGATAGCCCAATCCAGTTGGCACATAAAAATAACATCACAGAAAGGCTCCCAAAGGTATATTCACTAAATACATTTTCTCAAGACTGCGTCACAGTCTGCCATCCATGAAGATAATGAGCATTAGCTGTAGTGTCCGTCTCAGTGGCTTAGCCCCAAAATGTCTACATTTCCAACATGGGTGCCAAGGGCTCTGGTATGCAGCCGTACTGAATGTGCCAGTTTTAGTCTCTTGGTATGGTTCCCATTTTTCCATGGTCTCCTCAGTATTGCAGGAGGCTGGAAGACTGAAAACTACATTTCCCAGTCTCCTTGGCCCATTGGCTTCTGGGTGTATTCTGTCAATGGGACAAACTCACGAGATCTCAGAAGTTTGAGATCTGAAGACATTTCAGAGTGAAGGCTCAGGGCCAGACTGAAGACATTTCCTGCTTCTCATGGCACTTCAGGTTGTGGCTGGTGAGAGCACTGAAGTTCTTGCTTTTAGTCACATTTCCAACAGTGGCTAAAGCAGCTCCCATCACATAGTACTGAGAATTGGATAGCTCTCTCTAATTATCTGAGTAGCTCCTTTAACATCACTCCCTTTATGCTCCTCAGAAACTAGGGATACTATTTGGGGATTACAATGAGCAATGTATGTACGATTGTTGCCCTCTGATTGACGTGTTTTGAAATTTTGTTGTAGTTTTCTTTTTCCTTCTTCTTTCTTTCTTTTTATCCTTGAATAAAATGGATTTGAAGAAAAAAAGAAACTAGGGATACTAATCTATGGTAATCTCATCTTCTCCTTGATGATACTATAGCACTTTTAATATGTTTTTAGCAATTTTACTATATTCAGTATTCCATTTAATTATTGAAAAATTCTTATCTTTCCCTGGCTGAACATTCCCAGGCTCAGTAAGACAGAAGTTCCATGTGGAATGCATTTCCTCCAATACCACTAGAGCAGGAGAGCAGTGAAATAGAGGTGGCACCCCAGCTCCTATCTCCTACGTGCTTTGGCTTAGAAGTAGCGTACATCAGCTGAGTGTGGTGATACATTCCTGTAATGGAAGCACACTGGAAAGCTGAGACAGGAGGATCTCAAATTTAAGACCAGCCTGGGCAAATGAACAACTTTAGCATGACCCTGTCTCAAAATAAAAAAAAAAAATTTTAAAAGATTTTATCACCAGTACTGGTGGGGGAAAAAATTGAAGTAACATATGCCACTTCCCTTCATAACCCATTGGTAAAATTGATCATTTAACCCTAATTTCAACATGAAAGACATGGAAATACAGGTGAGCACTTGGAGTATTTAATGAGCACTGTGTCTCCTATCAGAATGAGCTAATCAAGACAGAACAAATATGGTAAGAGAAAACTGTAAATAGAACAAGAGTGTGAGGGAGCCAGGAAAGTCCCAGAGTGACAGGATGACCTGCCCACCTGGGCTCTAGAGACAGGAGCCTCTGGAAGGATGATTGGAGGGTACAACATGGGACAGATTTCTGACCAGGTTGACAAGTGGGGAGGTGGTTTGAGAAGTGTTTACAGAGCCAGGGAGGATAGATGTGCCGAAGATTTACTGAGGCAAAAAATGATTCAAATAAAAACAACTTTTTTATTTTAGTATTTTATTTTATTTTTATTTTTAAAAAAAAAAAAGATGAGAAAGCCATGAAGGGTGTCCACACAGGTATAATTATGGAAACAATAAATGTTTTAACCAAAACTGCAATGAACTGTAACCATCAGAGTCAGTACAGACCTCACAGGACAATGGCAGAGTCCCCAGTGTGACCACCTATACTTTCGATGCCACACACAAGTTCCAGGGTCCTCAGGCCACTTATGTCTGTATCCCAGCATTCTGGGAGGCTGATAAATTTGAGCCCAGGCTGGGCAACTTAGTGACCTAAAAACACCCTGCTTCAAAATAAGAAATAAAAAAAGGGCTGGGAATGAAACTCTGTAAAAGCTCTGGGTTCGATTCCCAGTACCACAAACAATCAATCAATCTTTGTCTTCCAAAAGATACTCTCTAAAATGTAATAAAATCATAACATGATAAGCATGTTATTTAAAAATATGACAACAAATACAGAAAAATGGGAGCGTACTCAGAAGCGTGATAAATTTATTGTTGCTAAAAGCCTTATAGAACTGTTGGGACATCCAGCTAGGTGCGTTTGCTACCTTGAGAAATATTCGAGGGATTCAGAAAGAAGAAAAATGGCAGCTGCTGTACCGGTGCTCAGAGCAGGTTGGGAAACACACACAGGGAGAAAAGCCCACTGCCTGCTGCCATTCTGCAAAGGCGGGCAGTGAGGGGAGAAGGAGGCAGAGCCTGCAGGGGTCATGGAGGGGGGTCAAGGGGAGGGGAAACCGAGGTGTTTTCCTCTCAGCAGTCCAGCAGGACGCCCAGGACCACCCAGAAGCAGAAGGTGAGGGAGTCAGTGTCTGGAGGTCACAGCTAACATTGTTGGGAGCTGTCTGTGGGGGGTGGTGGTGGAGGCTGGGTTGGAGAGGGGAAGGAGAGACCGGGAGTTGCAAGTTCTGAACATGAGGGAGTCCCCCAGGTGTGTAAATGCTGTTGGAAAGAAGTGTGCAGAAGTGCATCCTAGGAGGAGGCGAAACCAGAGGGGCAGCTCTGTCCCCATAGTCTCCAGGGGAGGAGAGGTATACACCTGCCGCTTGTCCTTATCTCCCTTGCCCACTCACTTTACTTGTTCCTACACTTCTGGCTGCCAGGCTACTATCTTCACACACAGGAGGTAATACTGGTTTGTCACCTGACCGCAAGAAGTCCTGTGTCCCAGATTAGCCTTTCTCCAAAGCCAGCTTCTGGCTGCTACAGTCGTTCCCCCATGCAGGTGACATATCCTCTGCCCTGCAGAGCGGCTGATGTTGGGTGAAGCCTCCAGAGTGCAGGCTTTTCTGGCAAGGGGCAGAAGGCCCAGTTCCAACCAAACTTCAGTGTCCTTGGGGATCAAAAAGAATCCAAGTGAGTGGCTGTGCTGTAAGCAGGGGCACAGGGCTGTGATCCCAGGAGGGCTTTGGTGCCCCTCCAGTGGGCATCCCCACTCCACCCTCCGCCAGACCTTTGGGGTTTTCAAGAGAACCTGAGCAACAAGATTTTTGTGTTTAGGGTCCAGATTGGAGGAGAGGTCTGTGCTTGTCATCCAGATTGGACAACAGTAAGACAGAGGCGGATAAGTCAGGTCAGCATTTGGTGGGAGGAGACCCCTGACCCAGGCAGAAAAAAGCCTGGCATGTGGGGAAGAGAAAGAAGCCACAGAGGACCTGGCCCAGGAGTAGGGGAGAGGAGCCTGGAGGAAGGAGAGGGAATGGAGGGCTGACCACTTGCAGGTGTGGCCAGAGAAAACGAACGGGACAAGAGACAAGACCCATCTCTGCCAGTTCAGGAGGGTGGTCCCGATGGCCCGCTGGATGCTGGATCCGTTTGGGTCACAGCTGCTGCCCTGGTTGTCCCAACACCCCTCCTGCCTGTCCTGGCTAACCAGAGGTCCAAAGTGCGGAGGGGCTTGTCCTGCTCTGAGCCCGCTGGGTCCTCCTCATTAAGAAGCATCACCTAATTAAGAGCTAATAAGCCCCAATTTGTACCCCTGCGGGGGAAGGAGGTGCCCCAGCCCAAGCTTGTGTCCACGAGGGGGTGGTACCGCCTGCTGAGAGCCCCTTCTCGCCGCATCCATGCAGCGACAGTCGCCAACCGTGGCGCGCGGACACGCGCACCGGGGATGCTCTGCAGCGCGCGCCGCTCTCGGCACCGGCCGGCTGGGACGCGCGCAGGGCCGCGCATCCGGTCCCCCGGCCCCGGTGAGTGGCCGGGCCGGGAAGGGTTAAGCCCACCGAGCTGGCGGCGGCCTAGAGTGGCGGCGGCAGCGGCGGCGGCGGTGGCAGCGGCGGGGGGCCGGGGCGCGGGGACGCGGGGCGCGGGGGCGCGGCGGGCGGCAGGGGCGGGGGACAGGATGCGGATGCCGGGGGGACTTCCTGTGCCGGCCCCGCGCCCCCGCCCCGGCCCGGCTGGCTGCCCACACGGACGCACGCACGGGAGGGCGGGCGAGCGAACGGGGACCCAGCCCGGCCGCGGCGCCCGCCCCCCGCGCCCCGCGCCTCGGCCCAGGCCGCCCGAGGGCTCTGGGCACCTGTGGCCCGCGGCCGCCCAGGACCGGTGGCGCGCGGCCCCCGCTGACCCAAGCCCAGGCCACTCTGCTGGACAGCCCAGGGCGCCGACCCCGGCCCGGCGGTGCGCGATGGTCTCCCGGGGCGACCCCTGAGCCCCGCGCCGGATCTGGGGCTCTGCTTCTGGCTCGTGCCCCCAGTCGAGAGTCTCCACCAACTTCTGCCCGGGAACTCCACTCTGCCCCTTCTCTTGGCCCAGGGCGATCTCGGCAGCCCTGACAGCGCGAACCCTCTGGAGTACCCCAAAGGGTCACCCGGGATGGCCGGCGCCTCCCTAGGTGGAGGTGCCTTCGGAAGGAGCCGGCTGAATGCTGTGTGGCCTTCACCTTACAGCCTCTGTTGACCACACCTCCCAGAGTGCAGGGGCTGCCGCCGGCCTGCCCGCCGCAGGAAATGCTGTCCCAGGTGAGGCCCTGGGGCGCCTCTCATAGGAGGGTTTGCACTGACTTTGGAAAGTCAGCCTAGACATGGGGGAGAAGGGAGGCCCGTATGTAGGGCCACCTCTGCAGGGTGGGCTTAGGAGCCCAGGCAGGTTGGCATCCCTGGGTTACACAGCTCTGGGTTACACAGCTCTTGGCACCTGCTTTCTCAGGAGGCTGGGGTGGCACCTGACACGTGTGGCCTGCCACTGGCCTTGGAAGGCTGGGCGAGCTCCCAGAGCAGTCTGGGAGACCAAGGGAACTGACATTCTTTGAAGGCTGCAGGGGAAATGTGACATGGACAGTCTCTCTCTTACCTGAGAGCACCCTCCAAATGTCTGTCTGTGACTCTGGCTCACAACCCTTTGAGGGCTGGTTCCATCATCATGATTCAATGAGCAGTGGCCATTGGCTTCATTGGGGCTACAAGGGAGCCCCCTGAATAGCCAAGGGAAGCTGTCACCTCCCACCTGAACAGCTCCCTTCCTTCCTCTCAGCACAGGCGGCTCCTGGGGACTCCAATGTGACCACCAGGATGGAGGTGGAGCCAGCAACAGAGACCTTCGTGTTGGAGCTGCGATGTCTTGAGGATGGGGGCCCAAGGCCTGACACCCTCTCAGGTGAGGACAGGGGGAGGGATGATGAGACCTCCCCAGAGAGAACAGAACCCAAGACCAGCTGTAGCTGAGAGAGGTACTTTGGGGTGGCTGGCAGCCCATACCCACTCACACCTACAACTTCAGCTACCTTGAGTAACATCTGCATGTTGGCCCTGAGATTTTTCCCAGGTGGCTCATCAGCCTGAGGTCTTGCTGGCAAGGGAACCCCCATTCTGGAATTTGGTCCCAGATGCTCCACAGTCATGTGGCTCCATTGTCCTCCTACCTGGGCCTGACTTCAGTTTTCACTTACCAGATGCACTCTGGGGCAGAAATATTCACTCCTTTGCACTTTGTGTTTCAAGCATTGATTTTGTGGCTTCCTTCCCTTCTGGCCGCTAATCCTGCCCTCTTGTCTTAGACTACTGCTTCCACCTGTTTTTCTTCACCTGATGCCAGAGGCAAATATGCTATCAACCTTGCAAGAGCTCCCTCTGGGATCCATGCTGGATGAGCCTTCTACTGTGGCCATAGTCCAGAGTGTCTGTTTCCTGTTGGATGCTTTAAGGGCACTGAATAGGGTCCAGGGCAGGGTTGAACAGACTTTGGATGGACAGGTGGAATAGGAAGGGTTGATGAGGACATGTGGACTAAACAAAGATTCTTTCCCCCCACTCCTTCAGTATTTGGGGTTGTATCCAGGGCTTTCACATTGAGCTAGTCCCCAGCTTCCCCCCTCCCCCCCTCTTTAATTTTTTATTTTGAGACAGCATCTTGCTAAGTTGCCAGGCTGTCCAGGCTAGACTTGAACTTGCTTGAATTTTTGCCTCAGCCTCCCAGAGTGCTGGAATTATAGGCATGTGCCTGGCTAGGATTCTTCTGATTTATAAATTTAACTGACAAAAATCTTGCAAGGGTATACATACCAGGCAATACTGTACATATTTACAAAATGCCTTTGATAAAAATGTCATAGTAGCCATGAGGCGAAGTTAGGTATGAGAGTCACACAGAGTTATGACTTGTCCCTGTTGCTCCCAGAGGAGGTGGGAGAAGGAGGCATCTAAGAAATATCAAACGTGCTGTAGGGACAGGTTTTCATGACTATCTACTACCTGCTTACCCCCAGCTACTGTGAGTGACCATGAAAAATGCATTCACTGATCTTTAGCCTAAGCATGGGTCATTAGAAATATTTTTCCAAAAGAAGATTATGTACATGTGGTTATCTTTTGGTTTTATTAAATCAATATATTCCTGGAAAAATGGCCAGAATGCAAAATTTCATCAATCAAAGTATGGCTTTCCATTCCAAAATTAAAATAGAATCCTGTGGGGGAAATATGTTGAAATCAGATCTGGAAATAGAGAAAGTTCCTAGGTTCATATGTGTAAAGAAGAGTTAGGATTTTCTGGGAGTATAATATTAATACTTACAAAAACTGAATTTGGACATCATGCAGAAGAGAAAAATATAGGAATAGAGTACCTGTTGTGTTTGCACCACACCCAATACTGTGGCTCCACATTTATCCTTTCTGAATTTCACAACATTTCTGAGAAGGATATATCTCCTTTGCAAAAGGGGAAACTGAAGTTCCATGAAATAAATTGGTCACTCCCCATGAGGCTTAGTCCTTTTTCATTTCTGAATGTCAATCTGAAATACTTTCAGTCTCTGAGTATTTCAAACACGGCTAGTTGAATCCTGTGGATTTGCAATTGGAGGGAATTTTCAAGCACATGCTAGGCAGTAGAGAATATTCCAGGCTCTTGAGCCTGTAGGGGGCTGGACAGCTCCTAATTGGAAGTCAGATTCTGAAACAAGGGCTGCCCATACGAAACCTGGTTTCAAAACCACTTTAGTGATTTCTCAAAACTGTTTGTGGTACTCCTTTTAGTCAGCTTTGCAGAAGTGCTTTATTATTTACAGAGAAGTTGAGTTCATCTATTGAAAGTGTGACCATCACCGAGGTCAGAGCTCAGCATGGGGCTGCTGGAATGCCTGGTTCTCTGGTTTCCAGTGGTTGTGGATGAAGCACAAGGGATTTCACAGACAACAGTGTTGGAGCTCTTGGCATGTGTTCTGGTAGAGGTGCCAAGTTCTAAGTTGTGTGAAAAGAAGCCCAGAGAAGGGGCTAGAAAGTTGGGGTTCAGAATGAGGTAACCAACAGCCCCTTGGGTATATTTCTAAGCTAGACTCTACCCTGACTACTTGCTCCATCCACCCTGGGCACCATCTGCCATGCTGCCATTATCATGATCTAATGCTTTTGAGTCTCTGCTGAACTCATTAGTGCACACTTGACTGGCTGTGCGTGGGAAGGGTAAGGGGCAGTTCCTGAGACACTGGACCAGACAGCTGCCTGTAGATCCTTCTCTCCTGGCTTCCTGCCATTTCCACTACAGGTGGCAGCGGTAGGAGTGAGAGTCAAGAGAAGGAAGAGGGGAGCAGCAGTCCACAATTACCAGCAGTCTCAGCCCCAAAAGCAGCCAGTAAGATCACGGAGGAAGCCCAGGCACTACAGCAGGAATTGCCACAGCAGCAGTTAAAGCAGCAGCCAGAACTACAGCAACACTCACAGGCTGAGCAGCCACAACAGCAGCAACCACAGAACCAACTGTTAGAACATCAACCAGAATTGCAACAGCAGCAGCAGGATGGGCAACAGCAGCTGCCTCAAGTACAACAGGAGCTACGGGAAAACCACCAGCCCCTGCAACAACACCAGGAACTGACACCACAGCTGCAGCTAGTGCAACAGCATGGACAGGTGGAACAGCAGGTGCAAGAGCAACAATTGCAGCAGCAGCAGCCAGTGCAAGAGCAACTATTGAAGAAGCAACAGGAACAATTGCAGCAACAGCAAGTGCAACAGCAACAGTTGCTGCAGCAGGAACAGTTACAACAGCAGCAAGCACAAAAGCAACTACTACAGCAGCAGCACCAAGTGCAAGAGCGACTACTGCAGCAGCAGCAGGAACACTTACAGCAGCAACAGGTGCAAGAGCAGCTATTGCAGCAGCAGCAAGCGCAAGAGCAACTGCTGCTGCAGCAGAAACAGTTAGAGCAGCACCAAGTGCAAAAGCAAATACTGCAGCAGCAGCAGCAAGTACTACAGCAGCAACAACTGTTACAACAGCAGGAACAACTACAGCAGCAACAGTTCCAACAGCAGCAGCAGCAGCTCCAGCAACAGCAGCTACTGTTGCTGCAGCAGCAGGAACAGTTACAGCAGCAGCTGTTGCTCCAGCAGCAGCAGGCCCAGATCCAGCAGCAGCTCTTGCTGCAGCAGCAAGGGCAGCTCCAGCAACAGCAGCAGGAACCTCTTCAGCAGCCTCCTGCTGCACTGGAGCCCGAGGAGGAGGAAGAAGTGGAGCTGGAGCTTATGCCCGTGGACCTGGCATCAGAGCAGGAGTTGGAGCGGCAGCAGGAATTGGAGCGGCAGCAAGAGCTGGAACGGCAGCAGGAGCAGAGGCAGCTGCAGCTCAAACTGCAGGAGCAGCTACAGCAGCTGGAGCGGCAACTGGAGCAGCAGCAGTTGGAGCAGCAGCAGCTAGAGCAGCAGGAGGTGCAGCTGGAGCTGACCCCCGTGGACCTGGGCGCACAGTCTCAGGAGGTACAGCTGGAACTGACCCCCGTTCAGCCCGAGCTGCAGCTGGAACTGGTGCCCGCTGCTGCAGGGGCCAGCGGGGCCACGGTCCCGGGGGCTCCGGCGGCCGTCGTGGTAGCTCCTCCGGGTTACGTGGTACTGCAGGAGCTTATGGTGCTGCCTGCCGTGGCCACACCGGCTGTGGTGGCCATCCCCGGCCCAGCGGGCAGTGCAGCTCTGACCCCTGCGCGGCAGCGACGGCGGCGGCGCGCACGGGATCGACCAACCATCTGCGGGGAGTGTGGCAAGGGCTTTAGTCGCAGCACGGACCTGGTGCGGCACCAGGCCACGCACACGGGCGAGCGGCCACACCGCTGCGGAGAGTGTGGCAAGGGCTTCTCACAGCACTCCAACCTGGTGACGCACCAGCGCATTCACACGGGCGAGAAACCCTACGCCTGCTCCTACTGCTCCAAGCGCTTCAGCGAGAGCTCGGCACTTGTGCAGCACCAGCGCACGCACACGGGCGAGCGGCCCTACGCGTGCAGCGACTGTGGCAAGCGCTTTAGCGTCTCCTCCAACCTGCTGCGGCACCGGCGCACACACTCGGGCGAGCGGCCCTACGTGTGTGAGGACTGCGGCGAACGCTTCCGCCACAAGGTACAGATCCGCCGCCACGAGCGCCAGCTTCACGGTGCAGGCCGCTCCCGGGGACTCGGGCTGCTGCGTGCACCGCGGCCCGCGCCCCCCAGCGGAGCTCCACGCGCCCAGCCAACCGCGGGGTCCACTGCTCCGGCGTCAGAGAAGGCGCCCTGATGCGTGAAGCGCCCGCCTCAGGGATCCGAGCGCAGGGGAGCGCGCTCAAGGGGTTGGTGGGGGGACGGGTTGTTTTGACCTGTGAATTCTCTTACACGCACGTGTGAAGATTGCCGGACGTCTTGCTCCCAAGTTCGTGATCGCTTGGAGTATCCTTGGGAAAGAAAAGACTTCCATCATCCCTCCATTCCTCGAGAAGTTCCAGGTTCACAGATTCACACCCACTCCTAGAATCCATCCACAAAACTTGATAGCCCAGAAGCCAACGGCTAAGGCCAATGGCCGAGACGGAGGTGGCCACATTGTTTTTCTTCTCTTGCGAAAAAAATTGGCTTCCCAGAAACAAGAGAAAACTTCCTGTGACAAGCAATTAACATTTTCCAAACACTATCCAGAGAATAAGGTATTTATATGGAGACACACAGGGAGAAGATGGATCTTGGTGAGAAGTATTTCAAAGAGAAAACCGGGAAGGGGTGTAGAAATTTACCAGGACTAGGTGGAAAACTGATCAAGGCATTGAATTGGCTTCTTGGTGGCATTTGCCTAGAAAATACTTGTTAGGATGGAAATGCATCAGGGTGGGTGTGATTCTGATGGAAATGCCCGTGTTTGCAGCAGTGTGCATGGCAGAGTGCAAAGAAGTCCCAGGAAGCCCTTCTCTGGATGGAAGGTAAGCCTTCCTTCTGTGCAGCACAGGGTTCCGCTTGGGACAGGCCATAGAGGAGTTCTAACCTTCTGCTGCCACATTCCAGCATCCCAAGCCCCACTGTGGCGCTTTAACATCTACTGAAGAACCGGAGAGGGCATTCCTGGGTTTTCTGCAAGGTCAAGAAGAGACCCCCTCCCAAGAGCTTGGGACAACCCCGCCCTGCCTCAGGCTGTTCAGATGGTGCTCGAGGGGTTGGTGCCTTGACACCAAGAGAGGGGTCTTCTGGACCAGGCTGTGAGAGGGTCTGCCTGGTATACCCTGCCTCCTGGCTGGAGAGGTGGAGAAAATATACTGGGGACAAGGATTGGAAGCAACAGAAAGGCTGTTTACCAAATCGTCTGGGGCAGGGGCTATAAAAGTAGCAGCAACTGCTGAAGTCTGGCAGCAGGAAAGTGTGTTGGGGGAAGAGGCCACCGGCTACCTCTGGCCCCCAAGCACTTCTTGCGTTACCTGATGTCCCATGTGTGGCTGCTTGATTCCTGCCCTCTTCCCTCCCTACTTCTCCTTTACTAACACAGCCTGCCATGTTTTACCCATGTGTTGGTAAGTGAGAAACCATGAAAAATAAATTAAAATGAACTATAGTGTCTTTGTCTGTATGCTTCTGTCACTGGATTTGCCTTGCCCCAGAGGCTTTATTTCTAAGGTGTTTTTAATTGTCTTTATTTTGGGAGGTGTTCCAGAGCACGGCTCTTGACCAGTCCTTCTCCAAGAGTTCCCCTTCTATCCTGTAGGACCTTGTCCAGGGAATAAGCTTATGCAGTTAAATCCTCATGGGAGAGACAGAGAGGAAAAGGTAAATGCTTGGGGAGGTGAGTTGAAGCACGTTAGAGTCCAGATGTAGTATGCAGTGCTGGGGTGGAGTGGAACTTACCACTGTTAGGCCACTTGGGGGAGTCATGAGACCTGGTGTCCCCACCCAGTGCTGAGAGTCCTTGATTTCCCCCACCAGGATTGAGGGTTTGAACATAGGGCCTTTGCACTAAGATACATCCTCAGTTTTGTTTTGAAGATGGTGTCTCATCAAGTCACCAAGCCTCAGCTTTCTAGAGTGCTGGGATTAGAAGCATGCACCACCATGCTCAGTTCCTTGGATTATAAAACTTCACCAGCCAAATGCCTTTAGTTTTCTTTTGGTCAATCTTTTGCTCCCCTGGCCTCCAGCTTTCATTCCCAACTTCACTAGGAGATGGTTCTTGGGCCACTGGAACTTGTCGAGCCCACTTATGTAGAAAAGCTGGATGTCCCTAAGAATTGTCTCTCCTTTGATGACCATGACCCTTAACTCATTAGGGCAGGTATGGGGAACAAGCCAAGTTTTGCTTCTTGTCAGGATAGCAGGGAGGGAACTTTCCTGCAAGATCTGATAAAAAATCTCTCTAAACGTTTGCACTTGAGACTGCCTGTGTATGTGTATGTGTATGTGTGTGTGTGTGTGTGTGTGTGTGTGTGTGTGTGTGTATGGTACAAAGGATTGGCCCTAGAGCTTTCTACTGAGCTATGTCCCCAGACTTTTTTTTTTTTTTGAGCTAGGGTCTTGTCAAATTGCTAAATTGCTTAGACTGGGCTTGAATTTATGACCCCTCTGCTTCAGCCTCAAAGAGAGCTGGGATTACAGAAGTGTACCACCATGCAAGTTTGAGAGCACGTTCTCACCTTTATTTTGCTTCCTCTCCTCTCCTTCCCTGTCCCAGTCGTCACTCCAACACCCCCTGAGACCAAGTCCTACCTAAATCTCCCAGGTCCCCAGGGAAAGAACTGACAGGATTTCCCACCAAAGATGGGTTAAGACCCCACTGCAGGAACCAGGAGACTGCAGCAACATGGATGCTGTTCCCACCAAGGAGCTGTGGAGCTTGCAAGGCAGGGGACAGTGGCCTTGGAAAGCTCAGCAGGGGCTCTTCCCTGTAGTAGGCCAGGGCTCCCTGTGGAGGTGGTGCCATGGAACTGGACTCCCTCATGTCCATGAGAATAGTAGGATGCTGGACTGGGAGGACCAGCTGTGTGCTAGGCTGCCAGGACAAGGTGGACACAACTATGGAAACAGGCAGTGAGGAGCACGGCAGTGGCATCCAGGAGCACAAACCTGTGGGGCTTCATGGTAGTGTATAGTGACCACAGTACTCCCAAGGCCAGGAGGGATGAGTAACCAGCTACTAGGGCATTGCTTGACTTACATATCCCACAAGAAAGCTGAGTGACCCTGAACTGAAGGACCTTGTCAGCTTCCCTGGTAGAAAGTCACAATGTCTTCCAGTTTCTAGATCTGAGAGTTCTCAGATCCAGAGGAGCTGGGTCCATGCAGAAGGATTTTTATGATTTTACTGTCTACAGTAAGCAGGAACAGCAGTGATTTCCCCATCCCTTTCCCATAAGGCCTGAAGCCACTAACCAGAGTAACATTCTCCGGGAAGATGAGATGACCAGGTCAGTCAACCAGGGGCCCTGACCTTGCCAGGATGAGGGTCTCAATCACTCACTGAGACCAGAGCCCCCACACAGCGGAAATGCTGAAGGCTGGGGTCTAGAACAGGGTAAGGAGGTGGGTGAAGAGTGTCAGCTAGGACTATGTACAGCGCCCTCCTTTGGTAGGTGTTCCCCACTCAGAGTGGAATCAGCGTCAGATGTGGGGTGGGCTACATGAGGACAGGAACCCGGGCTAACATTGACTCTCTGTTCCACAACTCTCTGGGTGGAGCCTCTGGATAGCTATATGGTTGCCCCAACCCCCAGCCTGGATTCAAGCTTGTGGCTCCCAGAAGCTCACATCCATACCTCTTCCACATATGCGGCCCCAGAAATGCCTGAGAATAGCTGTCTCTGGAGTGGCTTAGGAAGACCCAGCTACCTCACCTGAGTCTGGGACAACAGAGGCATCACTTTTGCCCTGGTGTGGATCAGGTTTTCTGGGTGGGTCTTGCCCTGAGCTTCTCTCCCTTCCTCCCCTATCCTGCCCTGTAGTCCCCTCTCTCATTATGTTTCCCAGAATGCCCATTTCTGATTCTGGTTAAGGTCAGCCATGAAGGTGCTTGCTTTGCTGCATAGAAACAGACAGCTGTCAGTGTCAGCTGTGATCATGTGGCCAGTTTCAGAGTCCTGGGCGGTAGTGGTTATGAGTACTTTGTACTTGTGTTCATTTGAATCTATTTGTTTAATGTTAACTATTTTTTCTCTCTTCCTGACTTATTTCCCAAACATCTAACATAAAGTGCATTAATTATTATTTCTTTATTTTGTAGTACTGAAGATTGAATCCAGATTTTCTCACTGGGATATATTCCCAGCCCTTTTTTACTTTTCATTGAGACAGGGTCTAACTATGTTGTCCAGGTTGGACATGAACTTGTGACTCTCCTGTTTTAGCCTCCCTCCCTTGGCTGGGATTACAGGCATGTGCCTCTACACTGTCTCCAGAGAACTTTACGTCTCAATAGTTAAGCTGAAGTAAATTTATTTAAGAGGCAATGTGTCATATCTAGAAGAGGAATGGCATTATCCAAAGATGGAAAAAGGAGCTTTGTGTCTTCTTTGGGAGAAAGAATCCCTGTGGCTTTGTGTTTGCACCATGGGATGTGGGCTGATTGCTTTATTTCAAGGTTAAGTATGGTTTGCTACTTTGGCTTCACACACACTTGTGGTTGTTTTGTGCTCCATTTCCACGACAGTTCTCTGCCTTACACTTTGAAATTCCTCTTTTAATATCCCCACCATATACTGGATGTGGTGACTCAAGCCTATAAACCCAGAATTTGGGAGGCTGAGGCAGGAGGATTGCTGTGAGTTTGAGGCCAACCTGGACTACAGAGTGAACTCAAGGCTAACCTAAACTGCATAGTGAGACCTTGTCTCAAAAAACTGAAAAAACAAAAAGCAAAAAAAAAAAAAAAAAGTCCCCACCATGCAGTATGGTGGTAGAAGTGGGTAGTTCCAGTACCCAGGAGGCTGAGGCAGGAATACTGCTTGAGCTCAGGAGTTGGAGACCAGCCTGGTGAGACTCTGTCTCAAAAACAAACAAAAAACCAACCAACCAAACAAAAAACACTCTCCCGAGGAACCAACTATGTGGGGAGTTTCATGGGAATAAACCAATCTGATCACATAGTTGAAGAGCAATGCCTACTGTGATTTTCGAGAACTGACATATGCTTTCCTCACATCTGAGCTAATGTCTAGGAAATGGTGTGGCCCTGCTGGGCTACAAAGGTTCTACACTGTCCCGGCCCCTACTTTTACACTCACAGAGACACCTTCAGGGCGATGTCCCCCCGGGGCTCTAATTCATACACTGGGAAGTGTACAAATAAAACATAGAGACCAGAGCATCAAGGAAAGGAGTTTTGCAGCTGATGTGGTATATGCCTGTGATCACAGCCATTCAGGAGACAGAGGCAGGAGCATGAGGAAGAGCCAGACACTGTCTCCAAATAAAATGACAATAGCTGTAGCTCAAGCTGTAGCTTAAGTAGAACTCTTGCCTAGCCTGCAGGGTGCCTTGGATTTGATCCACACTACACACACACACACACACACACACACACACACACACACGCACACACACGCATGTGCGCGCGCACACACACACACACATAAGCAGAGTTTTACTTGGAAAGAGAATAGTCTGGACCTCACGGCTCGCTCACCAATGACAAAATACAACAGGAGTCTTTATTTTTTTATGTATGTATGTATGTTTTTTAAAGAGCAGAATATATTTATTGAAAGAAAGAAAGCTTCTGTCTAAGAGAGACAGAAGGGGTCCTGAGTGGGTTGCCAAAGATTTTGTCTTTTATGAAGACTTTTAAAGAGTCAAATCATGAGGTGAGATGGGTCCAAGATAGAGAACACTTAGAACTTGCAAGGCAGATGGGCATGAGGTGGGACAGACTATGGTCAACCAATAAGATTAATTGTTCAGGTAAAATTGACCAAATCCGGGACAAATGGGGAAGCCAGTCACGTAGTAACTGGGCATTCTTAATGGAGGAGGGACTCTTCCTGTAGGGGGTTGGGATGGTGACTCCTGGCCTGCTCAAGGTGATCCATACCTATTTAGAATGTCAATACTTAGGGTGTGATTGCATGCATTTTGCCTTTTGTCTTGGGATCTGGCCCACAATGGGAGGTATCTGTCTCCTCTAAGGTCACAACATATCTTTGTAGGCTTCCTCGAGGGCCTGGCCCTGTCTGACTGCCTATAATATTTTTATCTAATTCGGCTGCCTATAACATTCCCCTCGGGGCTTGGGATTTAGCTCAGCGGCATAAGCGCCTGCCTTGCAAGCAGGCAGTTGTGAGTTGGATCCCTGGTACCGATAAAAATGAAAAAGACAAAAAAAAAAAAAAAAAAAAACCCACAACATTCCCCTCGCTAAAGAAGTATCCCAAACTGCCATGAGCAAGAAATGGGTGGTCTAGCTTCTCCAGGGTGAAAGGGTTGTAGTTGTCAGGGATACTCTGCAGAACTTCTAACCAATGGCCCTCAGTAGAAACCAGGCATTTTCATCTTGGGTAGGTGTACAGCTTTAAGTCTGAAGGAGACAAAGCCAAAGAAACAATTAAGTATGCTTGGGCCAAATAACAGAATCAATAGGATTAATACAAGTACAGTTAACTGTGATAGCTTGGACCCCAGAATAAAACCCAAGGAAGCAAGAAATTAAAATTTGGGGAGCAAAGGCTTTATTTTTGGCCAGGCCTGGCGATACAATCTCTGGGAGCCAATTTGGAGACTGCGCACCTTTCAGCTAAAAGGGTTGGGTTTTAAAGCTGAAAACCATAGGAATGTTGCGAACTTTGACCCAGTTTGATAACTTCCTTGTAGTTAAACGTTTCTTAAGGACAGCAAATTGTATTGCAGACAGGCTGAAGGTGGGTGGGGGGATTACAAGAAACTGAAACTTAAGTCTTTACTGGAGATGGAGTTTTAATCTCTATTGAAATGGCACATACAGAACAGAAAGGAAGTGCGCTGGTTAGAACTAGGTTACAACATTCCCCTCTGATGTTGTGACTGAGGCCAAGTCCTTGGCCAGGTAGTTGGGAAGACAGTATAGGCCATATTTCCTCCACAAATAAATACTTGTCCTTTGGTGGGATAAGGGAGGTAGTCTGGTTAACTGTGGAACTACAATTAGTAAACACAACAAACCCCATGTCAATGTCGGAGGTATTGTTATGAAAACCTTCTTGGAGACAGGGAGAGTCCTTGAAGCCTACTGGTTGTACTCTAAAGAGGGGACCAGCACTACAATTTAAGTAATCTTTTTCCTCCAGAGTGGTCAGAGAAACATTGGTGGGGATCGCAAGGGGCATGGGGGAGCCCTGTGCCATGCGTAACCAGCAATTTTCAGCCAAAATTGGGTTGGAAGCATTTAAGGCTTTATGAGTGGCATTTAGAATATCAGAAGTTTGAGCATCCAGATCAACTCCCCACGATTTAGGCAGCATCAAGGGGTGGCAATGTATCTGGGGAAACATTATTTTTTTAAATAAGAACAATTGTGAGAACATGGCCTTGGCTGGCTGCCTTTGTTAGGTATCATGCGGGGCTTTAACTTACACATCCACATTTGAGTCAAACCCCTTGTAACTGAGGGTATAGCAACAAGGAATGCTAACTTGTCCCCACAATCTGTCTGAAGACTATATTATATAATTTATCATTTATGTGGGAAGGACCATGATCCCTTTTTCCTATTGTATGTATAATTCCCCCCAGCCGGTGTCTTTATCTTTAGTATAGCCTCCTCTGCAATCACAGGGGCTCCCATACAAAGATCTCAACAATTGTTCTTTGCTTACAGGGGGACCAAAGCCGCCGTGCAAGGTCAGCATCAATGTTATTAAAATCCCCAGCAGTGGGATAGAAAGAGCAAAAGCAAGCAAGCTAAAGCAGTTCATGACTGGTATAATCTAACTATGTTTAGTCAATTTTAACTTTAAGGGGTTACCAGTCTGCTGTATAGTCCACTGAGTATGTCCCTCATTGTCCGCTATTTCCAGTGGCTTTACGTGAGTATGGTGAATCCATGCAGTTTTTCCTGCTACCTTGATGGCAGAGCGGGTACTGAGCACCACGGTGAAAGGTCTTTTCCAGCGGGGTTCAAGGGAGTCTCGATCATGATGTCACACCAGGACAGAAGTTCCTGGCTCGATGGGTGCTTTGAGTGGCATCTCTGAAGGCAGGTTCGAGTGTTTTTATCTAAACAGCTGGTGGATTGAGGCCAACACAGGATGGAGTGTCTGCAGGGACTTAATGAGATTTTGGTTAGTTATTTCAACTAATTTGTCCTCTGACAGTCTCAGTACCAGTTGAGGGGGATTTCCAAACATAGCTTCCAAGGGGGAAATTCCAGAAACATATGGGGTACATCTAGTTCTTAACAGTGCAAAGGGAAGAAGGCTCACCCAATTATCACCAGTTTCTAAAGACAGCTTAGCTAAAGTGTCCTTGAGAGTTTGGTTCATATGTTCTACTTGTCCTGAGCTTTGTGGCCGATAGGCACAGTGAAGTTTTCCAATTAATCTTTAATGCCTGGGCTAACTTTTGGGTGACTTGGGCTATGAAAGCCGGGCCATTATCAGTCCCCATTGATAGTGGGAGGCCAAATCAAGGTATGATCTCATGCAATAGCTTTTTAACTACCACTAAAGCTGACTTGGACTTAGTAGGGAACGCCTCTACCCAGCCAGTGGTGTTTACTAATACCAAGAGATAGTGGTGCCCCTGTAAACCAGGCTTTACCATGTCCGTCAAGTCTACTTCCCAATGTTCTCCTGGAACAATTCCTCAATGTCGAGTGGTCTCCAGCGTAGAGCTCTTGGCTGAGTTGACTAACAAGCACTGTGGGCATCTGGAGCTCAAAGAGGTGGTCAGTTTGGAGAGTTTTGGAATAAAAAACCAATTTCTGAACAATTCAGCAAATTTAGTTCCCCCTAAATGGGTAGTTTGGTGAGCCTGGTGTAACAGCTCCTGCCCTAGTGCCTCTGGTAACAGTACTCATTTATCAGGTAACTGCTACCAGCCCCCTGGGGTGGGGGATTTCGCTCCAAGTTGAGGTTCTAACTGCAGGTCCTTCTTTATGTAGACCGGTTCTGATAAAGTGGGAGGAACCAACATCAGAGCAGTTACCTCCTCGGTTGGCCCCTCTGATGTAGTGGCTATTTTCGAGTGGCCTGATCTACCAAATTGTTTCCTAGAGTAAATAAAAGCAACCTGCTGAGGCAGCCAGACTGCTGCCAGCAAGTCTAGGATCTGTGGAGCATTTTTTTTATCTTAGTCCCGGCCAAGGTTAAGAGACCTCGCTCCTGATAGATGGCTCTATGTACATGTACAGTAGCAAAAGCATATCTACTGTCAGTATAGATGTTTACCCTCTTTCCCGTGGCTAGTTTTAGCACCTCAGTCAAAGCAATGAGCTCTGCCTTTTGGCCACGCTCTAACCACTTAACCCAGAGTACCTCCTTTTCGGTGGTCACTGCTGCCCCGGCCACTCGTTTGCCATTCTGGATGAAGTTGCTTCCATTGGTGAAATAGTTGTCGGCATTTCCCAAAGGCTGGTTGGTAAGATCAGCCCATAGGTTCTGCTGCATTTAGAGGATGTCAGCACGCTCATGGAGAGGTGTCCTTTGTTCCTCAGGTCATCGTCAGGCATAAGAGTAGCTGGGTTTAAAGCTGAAGAAGTCTTGAAAACTACCAACTCTGGGTCTAGAAGCAGGGCCTGATAGTGTAAAATTCTAGCATTTGAGAGCCATTTTTTGGGAGGGGTTTTGATAAGAGTCTCTAAACTGTGGGAGATCACCACAGAAATCTTCTGTCCATAAGTAAGTTTTTTTTTTTTTTTTAGTCTCTTTAAGTAACATTGCCACAGCAGCTAGGATTCTCAGGCAGGGGGGCCATCCTCCTGTCACCAGATCCAGTCTTTTGGAGAGGTAGGCTATAGGTCTCTTCCAAGGGCCAGTGTCCTGGGTTAGGACTCCTTTGGCAATGCTCCTGAGTTTATCTATGAACAAGGTGAACGGCTTGGTAACATCAAGGAGTCCCAGGGCTGGGGCCTCTGTCAAGGCCCGCTTGAGCTGCTGGAAGGCCTGTTTGCATTCGTCTGTCCAGTTTAATGACTTTTGAGTCTCTCCCTTAAGGGAGTCATACAGTGGGCGGGCTATTTTGGTAAAATTTACTTGGTAAAGTTGATATGATTCTTAAAAACAATAAATATACATATATATGTGCAGATATGTTTACATTTTAACCAGAAAGAAAAATGCTCTTTTTAAAAGGCATGTCGAGGTTGCAAGTAATCAATTGAGGACTAAAACATTAAACAAGGCGCCACAACATTAAAGACACAAACAAAGGTTGCTTCGTGCACAGTTTGGTGAGCTAAAGGAAATAATTTTTTTATTATGAACCTTGAGTCTAATAAGCCATATGGATCCTGCAACAGAAATGGGCAACAAGCCCCTAAGTTAGTAACAAATTCAAACAGGCAGACAATTCTAAAGTACAGAAACACTGAACATAAATATCTAAATCCCTTTGTTCATTTTAGGCTCATAGAAGGGTTTCCTAGGAGAGAATGTTCTGTTAGATTTGGGGTTACCAAAAGGAGAACAATTAGAACAAATGGACACATGGTCAGACAAACAAGACAAGACAAGCTGCAGCAAAAATGGCCTTTGCTCAAAAATTGGCCAAACTTTGGAATTGGTCAAATTTTGGGATCTGGAGGAATTAACAAATTAACCAATGGAGTGGATCCCCTCATGGGGCAGAGTCACAAATGGACGAGATTCATCCCAAAAAACCAATTGACTCTGTCCTTGGGAGGTTCCCACTCCCAAAATTGAGGGCGTCCCCTCCCAATGTGCGAACTGACCGTGGTCTAATTAATCCCTCCAGAGTACTTACTTTTAGGTGTTCAGAATTGAGTCAGGGGTCTTGCTTCCATTCCGGATGAGCCCCCAAATGTGATAGCTCGGACCCCGGAATAAAACCAAGGAAGCAAGAAATTAAAATTCGGGGAGCAAAGGCTTTATTTTTGGCCAGGCCTGGCGACGCAATCTCTGGGAGTCAATTTGGAGACTGCATGCCTTACAGCTAAAAGGGTTAGGTTTTAAAGCCGAAAACCACAGGAATGTTGCAAACTTTGATCCAGTTTGATAACTTCCTTGTAGTTAAACGTTTCTTAAGGACAGCACATTGTATTGCAGATAGGCTGAAGGGGGGTGGGGGGATTACAAGAAACTGAAACTTAAGTCTTTACTGGAGATGGAATTTTAATCTCTATTGAAACGGCACATACAGAACAGAAAGGAGGTGCATTGGTTAGAACTAGGTTACAACTTTAACTAAGAGTTCCACCAAGAGGAGCTAGTAATGGCTTCCCGTAAGGAGGATAAGGATTGTTAGAAGATTTTGGCACAATAGAGAAGCAAAAATATAAAATGAACAGGTTTATTGAGTTGAGGACATGGAAAGGAGCACACAACCCATGGTGGCTGGGCTGTCTCCTTTGACCAGATACAGACAGGCAAAGAGTTATATGACCTCTGCTGATTGAAGTGGTGCCTGGGGCAGATATTGATGATGTGTGAGGAACTGATGGGAATTCTCTGTGCATGCAAACAGGAAGGGGAGTTTCAGTTAGGGCTGAAGAAGAAGCAGGAAGTGGTAGGCATTCCTGCTTTGGCCTTCCGCCATGTTAGACCACCGCCATAACTGTACAGTAATTTACACTAGGGCTAGAACCTTTCAAGGATAAGATCCAGAAAGTTTTTGAATATGACATGTTATTAATTTGTCATCTACTATCTTGAACAGTTAATAGATACTAGCGGAAGGGTCAGGAGTGTACACACATTTAGTTTTTACAGTTGCATAAGTACCTCTGCAACAGGAGTTTCTAAAAATCCTGAAAATTTACCAATGTATAATTACTCTTAGTTTCTCATCAAATTATCATATATGCAAGGGTACATAAGGTAAGCAAAAGATTGGTTTTGGGGAGGGAATCAGAAAAGGGCTCAAGGTATTACCTGTATTAGAGACCAGAGGGAGACAGAGGGATCTGAGTGTGATGTCCTTCCTGTCCCTGTCTGAGGCATTCAGGTGTGATAAAGGCCAAAGGGCTTTCTTGGCAGCTAGGTGAATATTTCTGTAGGCTGCACTTCGGACTACGTTGTGTCATGTTAGAGGTTTTTCTGTTCCCTGAGGCCTGGCCCCAAAAGGCTTATGACAAAGTACAGATATCCTTGGCCCACCCTCCCCATTTGCACTCCTTTCGCCTCTTTCTTTTCCAATTTTTTCAATTATTTGAGTTGTTTTTTTCTGATATTTAGATCATAATTTCCCCCTTTTCTTTACCTCTTCCCCTACCTTTACTCCTCCCTCCCCTTCCTGCCTTCTTTTGATCGAACCAGTGCCTCTACACTGAGCCACACCCTTAGCACTTTTAAATTTTTTACTTTTGAGACAGGGTCTCACTAACTCATTTGGTTGTCTCAGCTAGGCTCAAATTTTCAACCCCCCCTCCCCCCGCCTTAGCTTCCCAGAGTTCTGGATTACAGGCGTGCACTGCCATGATCAGTTTCCCAACTTCTCAGGAATAAATCTGTATGCCATTTCTTGACATTGTTTGAGGCATTGTCTATTGTCTTCCTGAAGTTGTAGGTGAGAATTTAGCACTGCTATACTGTCCTTCAATTTCCTTTCCTGTATCTATTTTTGTTAGAAATAAGTAAATAATTAGCGGTACAATAATATATAAATACAAACCAATTTTGAAAAATGTGATTTAAAACCACTCACTAATGACGTTTGCTTCTTGCTTCCAGCAGTGTGGCTTGTTCCCAGGGAATGCAGAGCAGGCATTAGGTTGTCCACAGCTGGGGGACTGCCAGACCAGCCCCAGACCCACTCCAGGATGCCTTGACACAAGGACAAGGCTGCTTGGCTGGACTTTTCTGGTACTGATGAACTTAATCCTCACAGATTGCCTCAAATTTACTAGGAGAAGAAGTGATTTTAAAACAGTTCCATCGAAGTAATATAGAAGAAATCTAATGGGCCCAGAGAAGGCACACATTTTTGTCTGATACACTTCCATTGTCATAGCTGGGTATGGTGGTACACGCTTGTAATGATAACACTCCGAGAGGCTGAGGCAGGAGGCTGGGAGGTCTTAGCTTGACCTGGACAACTTACCAGGACCTGGTATCAAAGTAAAAATATTTTTTAAAGGGCAGGGGATGTAGCTGGGTACAATTACCAGTACCAACAAAACCAAACCAAAAACAGTAAAACAATTTCCATGCCTATGTAATGTATCTATAAGCTGTTTGGAGGGAATGAGGGAGAGGGATACTCAAATGTGTTCATGAAACACTTCACTAGGGGTGTCTGCCTACTTCTTTCCTTGTCCTCCCCGAGGAGGCTGGAAGGCTGTGTGGTCATCCAGCAGTGGCCAGGCAGCTTCTCACACAGCCTACTATAGGTCACGTATTGCAGGTGGGGGAAGAAACCAGGCCTCTGAATCAGTCTGCAACTTGTGAGAGCCAGGATGTCTCTGTCCACACTTGTGGGCTTCAGGCCAGCCTACAGTCCCAAGTCTGGCCTCTTGGCTGGACAGAGCTCACTCCCACTCAGTTCCCAGGACTTGCACAGCAGCTGTCTCCTCCTACAGAAAGACTTTCTGGCCTGTTCCTAGGCTCCTATGCCATAGAGCAGCAAAAGATCCTAAAATACAGGATGCTGACCCATGTTCCTGCTCAGACTCCACATGCCCAGGGTAGGCAGGTAACAGATGTGTTCTCTGAAAAAGACCACAGCTAGTCAGTACTTACGGTGCTAAAGACCAATTTAATTCAGGAGCTAGTGCAAAAAGAGGAAAGAAGGGCCAGGGATTTAGCTCAGTGGCTCAAGCGCTTGCCTAGTAAGCATAAGGTCATGAGTTCCATCTCTGGTACAAAAAAAAAAAAAAAAAAAAAAGAGGAAAGAGACCTCAGTATAGAACTGGGCTCAATTCTGCACATGGAGGTTTACAGTCAAGGAGTCAGGGTGCAGGCAGGTGGGTGGAATATTATTAAGCAAGAGAGCTTCCAGGCAGACAGACTAAAGATGCTTGTGAGGCAGTCGGGGTTAGCAGACATCACCTAGGGGAGGTGGGAGATGAGGGATTTCAGGGTGATGAGGGCAAGGATTCTGTGCTGTGGGTGAGGTTCTGGCTAAACTGCCTTGGTGAGATTAGCACTATAACTGGGCAACACAAAGATGGCACAGAAGTTCAAAGGTGGAGAGGGAGTTTTGAAGAGCTCCCGAAGAGCCTGTGGTCTGGTGGAGGAGAGGGTTTTTATCCCCAGGTCCTTGGTCCTCCCCTCTCTGCAGTAGAGACCTCCCCCCATCCCCGCTTGCTCTTTGTTTTCATTGCAGGGAGCTGGGCTTGGCTTAACTTTGCCTGGGGAACACTTTTGTCACCTCTGTCTGCAAGTAGGTCCGGAGCTGTCTCCCCTCCACCCCCTCCCACCATGCCCTGCAGTTGTCTGGCTGAAAGATGGTGACAGACTTGAGGGACACAGGCATCCCAGGGAGGTCTGAGGCAGGAAGGACTGGCTCCCTCTGGAAGGACAAGGAGCAAAGGGAGGTCTCATTTTTTTACAGTGGTGTCAGGGATCATAGAACCAGGCCACAGAATTCCCATTTCTGTTATCTTGTCACCATCCATCTAGACCACCTAACAGTCTTTGAATTGCTCTTTACCAGCCTCCTGGATCCCCTGCTATTTCCTCATCCGTTTTGGCAAATCACAATCCTCCTCTGCCTGCCACCTCAGGGTCCCTGGGACTTGTCCCAAACTCCATTTTCTGCTCTTGACTCAAGCTTAGAGTCCCCTGACCCACCATGTCCCAGTTTCTGTCTACCTCTCAGGCTTGGCAGTACTACCTGTCTTGTGAAGTAGGGATGTCATCTCTGCTTTTGTCAGCCCCTGGCCCATCGCGCTTGGGGCTGCACCTCATTGTTAGGACTTTGGGACTTGCTCTGCCTCAAGCCTGATGCCTGGAGGCGGCAGCTGTGCCTTGCACTGCCGTCTTTCCTCCCAGACCAGCTTGTGATACTGGGCCAGCGCTCAAACTGAGGCTGGATGGGCAGCTGCTGCCCTCCTGCCCAGCCCGCCTCTGCCCTGTGTCCTTAAGGGGAAGCTGCTACACCCAGTGTGGGCATCTGCCTTTCTTGTTCCTGCTTTTTCTCCCTGGGGTGCACAGACTCAGGTGGGCTTTGTCCACATGTGGGCTGCAAGCCCCCTCTCCTCCAGCAACGTGAGCAGCTGGTGGCAGCAGACCAAGCTCCAGTGTGGGCTGGCCCCTCCTCACTTCCTGCCAGAAGGCCCACTGTTTGCTTTCAGTTAACATCGGGCAGAAAGATTCCCTTCCCTTGCTGTGCTCCAGCCCATCAGTGCCCTGCAGGGTGGCAGGTGACATGCTGGCCTTGGGCATACCTGCAAATTCCACTCCAGTTTCCTATCATCTGCTATAGGGATACCAACACCATATCTATACTTACAGTCATTATCACAGTGCCATATCACTGCCAGCCAAGGTCACACTCTTTTTTTAAATTTTTTTTTGTCTTTTTCCTTTTTATCGGTACCAGGGATCGAACTCACAACTGCCTGCTTGCAAGGCAGGCGCTTATGCCGCTGAGCTAAATCCCCAGCCCCCACACTTTTTTTTATTATCAGGTATTAAACCCAAGGCTTTTGCACTGAGCTACTTCCCCACCACCCCACTCCACCTATTTTCTTTTTCCTTTTATTTTGAGACAACTTTGAGATAAGTTGCTAAGTTGCCCAGGATGGGGAGGAATTTTTGATCCTCCTGCCTCAGCCTCCCAGAGTGCTGGAATTCCAGGTGTGCACCACCATCCCTGGCTGGATCATACTTTTGACTTAGAGGGATCCCACGGTAAATTCAGATGCCCTGAGTCCCATCCCCAAGTGTGGGGGCAGGTTCTTAGCCCAGTCTGGACAGATGTGCTGGTCTCCACATGTTGCCCTAGAGTGTTATGAGCCAACTTGCTCTTGTGGGTCTCTCCTTCCTGACACTCCATCTTTTTCCACAGTCCTGGGGCACAATTAGTTTTCTTGCTCTCTCTCTCTGCCTTTTGCAGTCCTGATATTCTTCATCTGGTTGTCACATCCCTTTGCATATGATTCTTAGAGCAGAGTGAACTATGTGGCCCCAATTTGTAGGTCTCCCCCAACTCTACCTTGCTTGGCTTCAGGGCCTGAGCTCCTCAGGGAATGAGTGCAGAACCCAGCACACAGCAGAGTGCAATGCATGTGACTGGTCATACCGAGTGAAGCAAAAGCAGCATGTGTGTGTTTGTGTGTATGCGTGTGTATGTGCATAGCCTGCGAGTCTAGGCATGAGGCCACAGATCTTAAAGGGATGGAGAGGGGGGTAAGGTATGCTTTTGGTCCTAGAATGTATAGGAAGGGAGATCCAGGGAAAGCCAGTGAGCAGAACCTTCCTGGGGCCATGAGGTTCATGAACCCAGAGCAGTGGGGGCCACACTGTGCTTTCAGGAGCATGTGCTGTGCACAAATACTGCACACAGACACGTGAGGTCAGAAGAAGGGGTAGGCAGGCCAGGATTGGATCCTGGGTCTCCCCATGCAGAGCATGGCTACAGACACCTGGAGCAGCTTACTCTGGACTTAGGGTATGGGTCAGGCAAGAATGGCTTTTTTGGGACAGCTATGCATTATCCTGAGCAGGCACAAAGATAACACTGGGCTTGGAGAAGGGTTGTGCGCCTAGACTTAGCCAAGCTGTTGGCCAGGTTCACTGCCCAGAGAAGGCAGGACCAGTGGAAGGGGCCAGTCAGGGTTGAATGACTGGAAAATATATCTGACTGTAAAACAAAGATCTGGAGACTCCTATCTCATGGTTTAGGTTTAATTCTCAGAGAATGGTGGGTGGCCCACCTGAGCACTCTGCTCAGGAAGTTACGAGGCTGGGGCAGGGGACAGATCACTTTGGGGGTAGCAGCCCCAATTTTACCTAGGATGCATGAATGGAGTCTTTGCCTGACTGTGCTCTCAGGGTTGTGAATCAAATGAACCTTGGAAACTGTGTCACAGGCAACAGGAGAGAGGACCCTCAGAGATGGGGATGAAACTGAAGGACCTGGGGACCAAGGCCTCTCTGCCCCGCCTCCACTCTGAGGAAGTATTACAGAACCTAAGTTAGATAGAAATTAATATGAAGTCAGAGAGGGATTGGGCTCCTCAAAGAAGTCAGTACAAAAAAATACAGACATCGGAATTGTGGCTGGGGGCAACCAGGCCTCGGGATGGCGAAGGGATAGCAAGGCCTCATGGCTCCCTAGAGATAAATGGCAGCTTGAGATTATAGTGTCATTAGCACTACTCAGTCCAGTGGGCCCAGACAGGCATCAGACACATAGGTGTGTAACCAGAACATCTGGACCCAAGCTCTCCTCCTTTCCCAAAAGTGTCTTTGCTTTTTCCATGTATCCTTGCTATGTTGACTCGTTTCCCTATTGGATCAATATTAGCTCAGCAGCTAGACTCATAATTTTATAGGCTGATTGCAGTTTTTTTTTGGTATTGAAACTCGTGATCTCGTGTTTGCCAAGCAGGCACTTAAATTGCTGAGTTAAGCCCCCGGCAGTTGATTGTAGTTTGATCCACGTTGTACTTACATTGTGATTTTGTTATATAAATTACCCCTGACAAAAGGCTGAGGTGGTCACCCATTTGGGACCCCTCCTGGAAATCAAGGAGCTATTCTTTTTGCCTTTATTTCCAATAAAACTCTAACTTCCTTCCCCCCCCCCAAAACCAATTTATTTCAAATAGAGAATAAAAAGAAAAAAAACTAAAACAAAAATTTAAAACATGTCAATCAGGGTGCAACAATGGTACATACACTGTGCATTGTCATCCTCAAATCATTCACCTGGAGCACAAGACATCTGCATTCAATAGTCTGAACAGTACCAGCACAAATCTTTCTCTTTAGTTAACTTAAGAGAAATGGGTAGTATAACTATTATCTATTTTTTATATTCACACACACATACATACACATATACATATGTTGTTTCTTTCAGCTTCTTATACTAGTGACACAATATGTTTATACATATGTGTCTTATTTATTTCACTTATGAGTATGTTCTCAAGTTGCATCCATTTGCCTATAAAAGTCTCCAGTTTTTCCTTCTTTAGGGCTGAGTAGTACTATATTGTATAAAAATACTACATCTTTTTTATCCATTCCTCAGTTGATAGGCATTTGGGTTGTTTCCAAGATCTGGCTATTACTAATTGTGCTGCTGTAAACATGGATGCACATATAATGCTGTGGTGTGATGCTTTTAATTCTTTTGGGATAACTTCCTCCTTTGGTAACTTTATTTCACAATGTTATGAGATCACCAACTTGGCACATTTGACACCTAACAGATCAGGAGTTATATTTTTTCTGTATCAGAAGGACCCCCAGCTGAGTGGGAGACATAGGCAGGGACAGACCAGAAAGGGTGGGGGGGCAGGAGCCCTAATGACTCCTTCAAAAACCTCTGTTGGGAAGGTAGTGAGGAAGAAATGGAGACATGGGTACAGATTAGGTGGGGAAAGGTCCAGGGGAGATGCTGGGTGACATGAGGTCCCTGCCTGACAAAGGGGAGGGTTCTGAGGCAGAGCCTGAGTGGCTGATTCTCTCCTATGGGCCTCCCTGCATTTCTTCTCTACCTGGCTCTGACCCCTGGAGATTGACCCCAATGGGCTGGACCTCTGGTTCCCTGCCCTCCAAGTCTAGGTGGATTTGGCCAAAGAACAGTGCTGGCAGGTGATAGGGTGTGGGAGGGAAGGATTAGGGTTTTCTTCTTGCCCCACCTCACTGTCCTCTACAGTGACAGCTCCCACTGGGTGAACCTATCTTCAACCTCCAGCTCACTGCAGGCTGGATACCATTTTACCCTTCTCTTCGTTGGGCCTAAGGGTGGCAAAGGCTGTCAGGCGCTGGCATCTCCACATTCCTCTACTGCTGTTCTTGGTTAATAGTTAATTTTCCTGCCACCTCTTCCCTGGAACCCCCTGGGGAAAATGCTGCTTCCTGCTGAACCTGCCAGGTAGGGTGAGTAAGGGTCTAAGCTAGGAGTTCAGAGTTTAAAAACTTGGATACTCACAGGACAACACAGGATGCCATGCGGAGGTGGCCTGGAGAAAAATGGTGGGGAATGGTGACCAATGAGGACAATGACGGCACTATCTCCAGGAGAGGTCTGAGTACTTCCTCGACCAGAGAAGCTCATAGCAGGCGCTGAAGTCCTTGGATGGAGGCAATTCTTTCCCGTGAGCCCCTTCTGGGCGGCATAATGGTTCAATGAAGGGTGGAAGCTGGGGAATGAGCCCCAGGCCACGATCTCTGTGGGTGCAGCGCTCACAATCAGAATCCAGCTGTGCTCACTATCAGACTCCAGCTGTGTCCCGACAGGTTTTGGGGAGGACTGTGGGTGGTCACTGAATTCACAGACCTTCCGCTTAGATCTTACCGGGCTGTATCACTTCTGCCTCTGTGTGGGCCTGCCCTCTGCTTGGACAGCCCTTCCCTCAGCCCAGCCCTGATCCTGACCCTGACTACACATGCCTCCAATTACGGCCTCTCCAACCCTCTCCAACCCTCGATCGTTCTACATTTGACTGGCATGGTCCATGGACCCCGGTCCTTGTCCACGGCTGTGCCCCTGCCCCACCACCTGCAGTAACAGCGGTTCCAGAACAGGGTGTGGCAGAGGTAGGTGGACATCACCAAGCTGCCGCTCCATTCCCTAAGAGGGATGACCATCTGCTGCCACGCCCTTTACCCACGGCAGGGTCTGCCAATAGCAGGCTGGCCTGATCTCCCTCCGTAAAGGGGTCAACTTCCCCTCTACACGTCGTAGGGTCCAGGAGGGTCTCGTGGACGGTCCTGGCCCTTAGAAGGCGCCCCCGAATCCCGGCGGGGTCAGGACAGAGTGCTCCAAGGGACTGGGCCCCCACAGGCGTCCCAAGGGGTGGCCGACGCTGGAACTCGGGGTTTTGAGTTTCACAAGCGTCTCGGTGCACTAGCGCTGCAACCCGCTCTCCGCGCTCGCCCTCCGGGCGACCCCGTGTGACCGGAAGCTCCCCCCTGTGAGCATGAATGGGCGGAGACAGAGGGCGGTACTTCCGGTGCCATGCGACGCCGCTGTCGCTGCCGCTGCCACCGCCTCCGCCGCCGACGCCGCCTCACAGCTCGCGGCAGTCACTTTGTGTCGCGCGGCGCAAGCGGCCCGCAGGCCCCGACCTCGCGTCCAGCCCACGGCTCGATCCGCTTGGCGCGTGTGGTGAGTGGGTCGCGCGAGGGGGCGACGGCGGCCCGGGCCGGGATGGACGCCTGGCGCGCGAGGCCTCGGGCGGCTAGGGTTGAAAGTGGGCTGGTCGTGGCGCTTGCGAGCCCTGGCCAGGTGCAGAACCGGCCATCGCGGCTACGCCCACGGCCGGCGAGGCCGCGGATTCCCTGCCTCTTGTCGGGAGGCAGCCAGCGACCCTCAGGCCCCGGGCCAGGCAGACGGCAATGAGGGGGCGGGCTGGGGAGGACACGCGCGACACCTGGGGAGGTCCCTGGCGCTGCCGCCGCCGCCACTACCTCAACTACCACCACCGCCACCGCCTTCTCTGGCAGCTGGGGCTAAACCGCCCCCGCCCCCGGGGACACACCCATCCAGGAGAGGCTGTCCTACCGCAGTGGCCGCTGCAGAAGATGGGGGTCCGAAGAGCCCCTTGAGAGGAGGGAGAGGAGAGACTGCTTGTCCTGGCGCCCCTGCAGCCTGCTTTGTGACCTTGGGGCGGGGAAGTTTGAGTCTTCCCTACTCTCTGCAAGTGGAAGCTCTAACTTGACTGCAATGCTAAGTTGTCTGCTCTCAGTAGGTGATTAGGGAAACTCAGTCTGAGGTTCGATGGAGTATGGAGTGGTCACACAGGCAGGAGAAGGGCTAGCCTTTGGTAGGGAGGTGATGGAGAAGGGGAGGTGCAGACGCATCAGACCTCTAGAGCTTCCTGTGTGGGGTGAAGTTGGCACGTGGTTCTGTTTAACAAGTATTGGCAAGCTATCCTGGATCTCCGATGGCCCCCATGGATTCACTTGCAACACGAGCAAGCTCAGGTAGAATGAGGGCTACTGAGACCCACAGACAGACAGAATTGTGGTGATCAGGAAAGGAGATCCTTTTGGTTGACAAGACTGAAGGGGCTCTGAAGTCCATGGAGCCACCCAAAGGGAAAGGTGACTAGATACACGTGTACACACATATCTGCTGCATATCTACTTGGGTTTCCCTGGATTTGAAACCTTTGTATAGTGTCTAATTCATGGTGATCCTCCTGTCTCAGCTTCCTGAGTACTGAGATTCCTAACAGTTTTCCAGCTTTGCCATTTCTTTCTGTCCTAGATGATTACCTTTTTGTGAATGACACTTGATCATCTCCAATTCTAAATATCTGCTCTACCATGTCCTAGGGTGCAGGGCCCCAATGGAAATGAAGGTCTGCGTGATCCAGGGATTGATGAGGCTGCTTACCTGATTCCCTGTGGGTTCTGATTTGGAATTGGAGGTCAAGGGAAAATAAGCAGTTTCCAGGGGGCTGACAAGACTGGAGTGGGAGGGGATGTATGGGGCTAAGAGCGGCAGGCAGGTTCCAGGACCTGGGTTATAGGTACATAAACTGACCGACCCTGAAGCCCATTTTTGCAAGCATTTGTTCTGAACCTGTAGTCGAACATGTATGTGTTTGTGTTTAGTCCTAGGCCTGTCTGCTCTGAGCCTTTGACCTCTGCAGGGCCTGGGCCTTCTTCTTCTGTGGTCACCAGTGGTTGACTTCTTGGGAGAAGAAGTGTCCTCTTTAAAGGCAAAGGCTTCACTGGGTAGGTGGGTTCCAGTTCCGAAGACCCCCTTTGCTGAGTTTATGTCTGTCACATTAACTGTAGGCTTTAGGATTCCTTAAGGACTGGAGTACTGTACTTCTGTGTGTTTGGAATGGCAAGATTCAGAGGGGAGTAAAGGGAGCTCCTATACTCCCTCAATTGTAGGTGTTGCCAGGAAAGAGAACCAGAAACTGTGTGTAACAGGGATCCAGGGTGGCTGCCTCTGGAAGGCCATTGAAGGGGAAAGAATTCCAGGGAGGGAGAATGGCACATGCAAAAGTCCTAAGGTGGTGAGTATGGGCCCCTTATTCTAGAGCTTCTTTTTTTTTTCTGTCAGCCTAGCCTTGGGGTCATGGGACAGTGGCTCCTCCAAGTGGTGGGCCAGGCAGGAGATTCTGTGGTGTCTGGGCTCAGCTTAAATTTGTAGCCTGAGGACTAAGTGAGGAAAGATTTCTGGGTCTGAGTTGGGAGGCAGGTGAGAAATCCTGCTGAATGTTCTCTGTGCCCTCAGTGTTGGGCATGATTGCATCCGTGGGCAACACGAGGCTCATGCATTTCTATACTTCAGACATGGTAGAAACAAGGAGGTAGACTTCTGAGAGAGGCCAGAAGCTTGGTGGCTCTCCTGGGCTGAGTTCTATGGATTGGATCTTTAATTTGGTGATTTGCATGTAACATGAGGGAGTTGTTGAGTGGACACAGGATGGTCAGGACCAAGATGGCTTCTAAGAGGCAGGTGTCTCTTCCAGGATTTGGGAGTTGCCTAGTTATCAGTGTAGGTTTTAATGCAGCTGATCGGGAAATTTTGGGAACAGATTATGTGCTGCTGAGGTACACACTGATGGTGGGAGTAAGAGCCAGTCACCGGACAGTGCTCCCAAGTGTGTCCATAGAAATATAGGTTCTAGTCTCTGACTGTTCTCATGGTCCTGAACATCTCCATACTGAGGGCTTTTCTGAGGCACACACTGTCCTCTGGTAGAGTTGGATAAGCTGTGGTGAGCCCTGTGTCTGGTGTTACCCTGTGGTCTGATAGTCCAGGATGCCTCAGGACTTGTTGCCCCATGCCTATGTTTGGCAGTGGACTGCAGTAGCTTTGGAAGTGGCCCCATTTAGGCCAGAGACACTGATAGAGCCAGGTGCTAGGTGATGAACCCAGTCTTGAGCTCATACACAAAAAGGAGCTACAGAAACTCCATAAACACAGCAGCTCTCTCTAGTCTTGGGAATCCATCAGAGGCTGATGAAGGCTGTGTGACTGACAAGGAGGAGCTGCCTCAGGGCTCCCTGCTCTACTCTCCACCCCATAGCGCTGGGCTCTCGACTCTGTGTTCTCCTGTCTGGATCTGCCATGAGCCTGAGGGCTGGCCATGTGTTCTATCAGTGGGAGACTAGCATCCTGGAGCCTCTGGGTATTGGCATTGTAGCTTTTAAGATTCTCTGATCCCCAGACTTCATGAAATGCCAGAGGGTACTTTATATTTGTGCTGGCCTAACCATGAGCCCATGTCTATGACCCACTGAGCTTTTTCCAGATGCCCAGGACAGAGCCGAGTGGGAAGGGCAGACTTAAGGGTGATATGTGCTCATGGCTCCTCTCCCATGACTTTCAGGAAGGAGCCCAGCCTGCTGATTTCCTAGTGCTGGTCTCACCTATTTTTCTCTGAGGAGTCCAGCAAAGCCACCTGTCCTTTCATCCTGCCCATCAAAGGCCCACAGTGTGTTTCTGCTGGGGCCTCACGTCTGACAGTTCCTGCTCGCCTGGCCCATGTATATGGAGGACTGGGTAAGCTCTGCATTCTGTGTGCTCATAGGTTACACTCACCCCTTTCAGTAAAGTATGGACTATTCTGGAGTGTGCTGCCTACCCTCCGTAAGACCCTCCATGTGTCTTATGGTCCTTCTGGGTAAAGCCTGGTGATCACTGCTTAACTCATCCTAGGAAGAAGCAATGGCTCCTACTAGGTGTGTGGTTGCTGGTGAGAAAGAGTGAGGGCTGTCTCCCAGAGGCTCATGAGGAGAGGGTCTTCAGGCTGCCTCTAGGGGACTGAATGTGCCTGTTGCACACGAAGATGGCAGACAGAGCCCTGATCCTTCGCTGCCCCAGTGACTTCACTGCATCTCCCATCTGTGTTTCAGGCTGAGCAGAAGCTCACTCACAGGGACAATGGCAGCCCTTCATACCGTACCGGATTCACCAGCCACCCAGCTCGAGAGGGTGACAGACGGGTCTGAATGTGATCCTGACCAGGAGGAGGAGGAGGAGAAGGGGAAAGACATGGAGGAGGTGGAAGAGGAGGAGGAGGAAGAGGAGATAGCCATAGAAGAGGAGGCAAAGGAAGTGGCGGATGTTGTGGAGGAGGCCGAGGTGCAGGAGGTGGCAGAGGTGGAGGTGGAGGCAGAGTTTGAGGAGGATGATGATGATGATGACAATGATGACGACAACCACGACGATGATGACAATGTAGAGGAAGTGCTGGCAGAGGAGCAGAGTTCAGGGTTGGGGACCCAGGAGCAACTTAGCCATGGTGGTGACGCCAAGTTCCCAGTTCGGGGAAAGGGTAAGAAAAAGGAGCTAACCCCTGGGGAAGAAAATGAAAGGTCAAGCCAGGAAGTTGGCTAGACCAGGGAAAGCTCTGGAGCCAGCACTAGAGTGGCAGGAGCCTTTCCTTTATTTTTAAATTAAAATTTTTTTTTGTCTTGTTGAGACAGGGTCTTACTATGCAGTTCAAGTTGGCCTTGAGCTCACTTTGTAGCCCAGGCTGGTCTCGAACTCACAGCGATCCTCCTGCCTCAGCCTCCTGAGTGTTGGGATTGCAGGCATGTGCCACCACGCCTGGCTTTTTTTTTTTTTTGAGGTACTTCTATGGCCCTTTAATTTTTATTTTTGAGAAAAGATGTTGCTGAATTGCCCAAGCTGTTTGGACTTCTTGCCTCAACCTCCCACTGTGCTGGGATTATAGGTTTGTGTTACTACACCTGGCTATAGGCCCAGTTTTTGAAAAGAGCAGCTGGGAGCTCCAGCCCTGCCTGTCAGCTGGGCGATAGATGGCTGGGATGACCCTAAGAGATCTTTCCCCTTAGCCCCACAGACATGCTGCATTCCAGCAGCTGCTCAGGATGAGGATCTGGAGGAAGAAGAAGAGGAGGATGAGGATGATGATGAGGATTTCCTGACAGCTGGGTCTCAGGTGAGCTACCATCTCTCATTTGGAGCTCAGGTAACCTAGGTAGGGTTTCCCTGGGGCACCTTCAACTGCAGTCCTGGAGGACTTTGGGGCCAGTTGGCACTGCGATCCTCAAGCAAAGGCCCAGGCTCTGAACTAGGACAGGGTACAGGTCCCAGGCCAGTGAGTATGGGTTTTTTCCCCAGGCCATTGAGTTGTTCTCATTGGTTTTGGCTACCACTCACTTACCTGTACTGTGCACGATGACTTCAGAGCACTGGCTGTCCCATAAGATCATTATGCTCCCCTGGAATGGCTGTGCTTCCCAGTCAGATGGGGAACCAGTGCCCACACTCAGTTGGTGCCATCTGTCCAGCCCGGAGCAGCCCCTCTGGCTGCTGAGGTGGACACAGCATTTGCTTGGCCCAGACGGTATGAAGTAGAGGGGCCATTGGGCTTGGGCTTCATTGTCTCCTGCCTGCTGTATGAATGAATCTTGCCTCTGCCCCGTAAAAGCTGTGTGGTTCACTATCCCTGAGCTTGAGTTCCTGGTCTCTGGATGAAACCCAGGTCTTGCCTTCAGGGATGGGTAAAAGCATGAAAGCCCTCTATAGATGTTGATAATGGGGTGCTGGGCTGTGTCCCATTGTTACCCACATTGTAGGGCCTCAGTGTGGTTTCTTGATTGTATTGCATGGCTATGTATGTACTCAGCCTCTCAGGGTAGTTAAGGGCAGTGTCTGGGGCCCTGTGCTTTCTAGGGGTTGATGACCTTTGAAGATGTGGCAGTGTACTTCTCCCTGGAAGAGTGGGAGAGGCTGGATGCAGATCAGCGGGGCCTCTACCAGGAAGTGATGCAGGAGAACTATGGGATCCTGGTGTCCTTGGGTAAGGAAGGGCCTTCTGTCCCAGAGAGGTAGCCTGCGGGGCTTAGCTGTCTGAGGGTAGGCTTTTGGAGCCTCAGGATCAGGCACCCACCCCCAGGGAAGCCCTGAGACCACTCTGGCCTCAGCAGGGCTAGAGAGTGTCTGAACCAGGTGGATTTGTGTAGTGGAGCTGCTGACTCCTCTCTGAGCTCTGCTGCCCTGCAGGGCAGGCTGAGGCAGGTGTGGCAGCAGCAGGGAGGGCTGTGGGAGGAAAGCAAGGTGGTGAGGGCTGTGCCTGAGGGAAGGGATGTAGAAACTCCTAGAGCTGAGTGAGGTGGGGAGGATGGGAAGGAGGAAAGGATCTGAATATGCCAGGGACCCACAGGGTCCTCTGTGACAGCCACTATCTGTTCCTCTCCTGGGCAGGATACCCAGTCCCTAAGCCAGATTTGATCTTCCGCCTGGAACATGGGGAAGAGCCTTGGGTCCCAGATAGCCCCCATCCTGAGGAGGGGGACATTGTCACTGGTGTCTACACAGGTGAGTGCCAGATCTGTGTGCTAGTTTCTGCCTCTGCCTCTTGGGTCTTCTTGGTCCAATTCTAAAGAGGCCCAATGTCTGGGCCTTAAATGACTAAATGATTCCCTATCCCCACTTTGGAGCTGGTGATTTCTTTTTGTAAATGAAGATAGTTGTCAAGTTGTTGGCTCAGAACTGAGACCAGGTACAAGGAGCCTAGCAGACTATTGATGAGGCCTTACTGATTCTGGAACTTCATCCATTCCTCTAGCTTTTCCACCCACTTGGCCATTTCTGCAAAATAGTCTCCTTTGGTTGCTTGTTCTTTCCAGAAGGCCATGGGCAGGCCTCTGACCTGTGTGGGCAGTTGGGGCTTTTTGGAGAGGGGATTTCGGAGTGTACATAAAGCATTTAACATGGCAAATTTCTCTGCAGTTCTAGAACTAGTTCTAGCTCTCTTCTTTCACTTTTCTGTGACCTGCTTTCATTTGGAGAATGAATTTGAACTAGTGTGTGCCTGTAATTCCAGTGCTATAGGATGCTGAGGCAAGAGGATCACAAGTTCAAACTCACCCTGGGCTACACAGTGACTTTGCTTAGTGAGACTCTGTCTCAAAATAAAAAACAAAAAGGGCCAGTGGTGTAGCTCAGCATGAAGACCATGGGTTCAATCACCAGTACTGCTAAAAAAAAAAGTTGTTGAAGTAATTTGAACTAAACCCGTGGTTTCCAACCTGACCATGTTGGACTCATACTGAGTTGAGATCCTCATTGGAGTCTATAGGTCATGCGTAGGTTTCAGATTGTAGAGGAAACTCTTGGCCTGCAAAAGTATCTGAGAGAGGGGCTTTTAAAAGAAAATTATAGCTAGGTATAGTGGTTCAGGCCTGCGGTACCAGCACCTGAGAGGCTGAGGCAGGAGTGCTGGGAGTTTGAGGCCAGCCTGTGCAGCAGATGAGATCCTGCCTCAAAAACCCAAAATGAAATGAAAAACATTTTCCAGTAGCATACCTGCACATGTACTTGTATTTTCACCTGTACTGTAGACCGTAAGTGGTGATTCTCTGAGGACATTAATGGGAAGTGTCTACTATTTATGGATACATTCAGAAAAGCCACCCATAGGGGAAGGGGACACAGGCCAGTGCTGGCCAGTCCCTTAGTGTGTGGTCTAGATGTGCCCCTTTTCTCTGTGCCTCTTAGAGGATCCTTGGGGTAGAGCATTGTGCGACCTCAAGCTGGGTGGTCCGGGTCTCCTCTTAGTACAGGTGACATGCACTATGGTACTGTGTCACTTGTGTTTGGGGGGCTCCCTTAGAGAGCTGGCACTGTTTTCTCCTGTGGCCAGTCATGGTGTTGTGACTGGTGGGCCTGGGTGGCCCCTGGACCAGTCCCATCTACAGACCCATCAGTAGGACAGGACTCAGGCAGATTTTGGAGAGATGCCTGCTCCTGGTTGAGCCCTATTTTCTGCACTGGAGCAGAGCACAGTGCTGGAGAAACTGTCTCTGGACCCTGTGGGGTGGCCCTGTTTCTGTGCAGGGCTGCCTTTGCTCACTGAGACCCCTTGGCACTGCTTTCCCTGCTGCCCCCTGGCCACTGAATCCACCTGCCTACGGCTGTTTTCTTTCCACTGGGGATTTCTGTGTTCTCTTTTTCCTAAATGACTTTTAAGTGCCACCTGTTCTCTCTGTCCTTGTTTCCAAACTATTTAGCCCTGACCCGGTCTCTTCTTAATCTCTAATGTCCACCAAGTGTGTGCTGCCTGTCCCCCATGCAGATTCTTACAGAGTGCCCCAGAGGTCCTAGTTATTCTGCCTCCTCCCCTACTCATGGCCCAGGCTGGCAGGAATGTGGCTACCAGTGCCACTAAGCTGCCGGCTGCCTTACCTGTCAGAGGCAAGTACAAGGGTAGTTTATTCTCAAGTACCTGGAATGGTAGCTGAACTCTCCACAAAGCCATGAGTCCCACTGCCCTTACAGGGTCCTCTGTACCCTCTCAGACTCTGCTCTACAGATACCCTTTGTCTACAAATCCTTTCTGGCCTCTGGGCCTTTGTTTGCACTGTGTCTTCTACTGGGACCTTAAGCACTCTTCACGTGGCTGACTCAGTTATTAGGTTCTCCTTTTGTTGCATGCTCTTTGACCTCTTTGGCTTTAGCCCCCATTTTCTGGGACGTTCCTGGTGTTCTAGACTTGGTGGCTGCTTCTGTAGTCTGCAGATACTGTGCTAGAACTGACTCAGCCCTGCAGGGGGAGCTCCAGAGGGCTGGCCAGTGACCCCTGCCCCCAGCTGCTGTTCCTGCCCTGCTTAAAGAGGAAGAACAGCGCCCAGGACTAATCCAGATTAAAAATTACATGGGAGGACTGGGGTTTAGCTCAGTGGTGTAAGTACCTGCCTGGAAAGCGCAAGGTCGAGAGTTCGATCCCCGTACCAAAAAAAAAAATCACATGGGAAAGAATAAAGATGGGATTTAAAAGGCAGTAAGCAAGCGGTGGAGACTCATTGCGGTGAGAGAATCTTTTATCAGCAAGCCAGTGCAGCTGATGTCCTCCATTCTCCAGCAGGCCCAGGCAGCACTAGCCTACTGAGGGTACTGCCCACACAACACAGAGCCATGAGTACCTGGGAGACCACAGAAGGCCAAGGCCACCTGCTGGGGCATGGCTGCCACTGAATCTCCCTGTTTTAGTCTTAGCCAAAGGACCAGGGCTTAGGTCCTGTTTTGCCCTAGATCCTAAGACTTGGTGCAGGTACAAGGCACAAAGGTGACATACCCAGTGGTGGGCACCTCCTACCTTGATGCCTGTCCTCCCCTGAGCCAGTTTTGAGTTTCTGTGCCTGGATAGCAGCAGTTTGGCTGATGAAGAGTCATGAGGGCCAGGGCAAGTGCTGACCTTACTCAGGAACTCAACACAGGTTATCAGGGAGGGAAGCCCACAGCTGTGACTCACCTCGAGGCCCAGGCCACCTTGGGCTTGCAGGGCAGGTTCTGGAGTCCCCAGAAAGGCATAGGTGGCTCAGTGTAGGTGTCAGAGATGATAGTGGTCAAGACCTCTTGCTGAGGTATTTGGGGGTAATTCAGCAGCCCATATAGGAGGTGTCTGGGGCTCTGCTGTGAGGGCTACCAGCTAACAGAGCATGAGGCTGCTGACTTCCTGTGCAGATAAACCAGGACCTGGATAGAAGCAAGGGAAGCTGTTGTGCTTATGGCCTTCTGGGCAATATGGAGGATCACCTTACTGTCTTTAGGAACCTCTAAGCCACAGGGCTTCTTTTAGGCAGCTCTGACCCTGCACCAAGTGCTGGTGACAGGGCAGGACCATGATGGCTAGTCCTCATCCCCTTTTTGTCTAAGGGTATGAGGCTGGTTAGGGGCCTGTCTAGGATTTGGAACTGGGGACCAGTCTCCTGGAGAAAAGGCTGTGACCACAAGAACCTGGCAGTAGGAAAACGGCACAGCCTGTTATAATACTTGAGGGACAGCACAGTGAACAAAAGGAGAACAAAGGATAAACAGCAGGCGGAAGCCTTGGGGAATTGATAGTGATACACAGTACCTGGTTCCCATAGTGATAAGAATACTTCAGTAGCACCATTGTAGGCACTTTCTGCCCATTTATTTATTCCTTGCAGCAGGTGCACAAAGTGAGATTTCAGTTGCAACTATAAACCATTTTACAGATGGTGAAGCTAAATGACACTAAATGACTTATCCAAGGTCCCATAGCCAGTTAATGGTAGAAATGGTGTTCAGGCTCAGCAAAGCCTGTGCCCTTGAACTGCCCTGGAGAGACAGCCAAGAGATTGGTGGTAAAGGGACCCCTGGCCCTTATGGAAATGAGCTGAGTAGGAGAATCACTGGTATGGAGCACAGAGATCTAGTGGACAATACTAAGATCTCTGAGAGCCTAGTATTGAGCTGGGAAAGGGAGACCATCTCCTTCAGAGACCAACACTGCCAAACAGTGTTTAGGAAACAGCTGTGGCCAGATGTCAGTACTTATGGTGGGAGAACTCACTGTAGCAACCTGAAGTGTTTAGTTCATTCCCGTGGCACCAGCCTGTCAAGGTGGCCTTTGCTTGGACTTTCCCTCCACCAGTTCCTGCTCACTTGTCCCTTCATCATGTGCAGAAGCCTGTTTCCCTGGGGTCTCAGTGTCCTCAAGGCTGAGCCTGGGAAGGTTCTCCCCAGAGCCCCTGATTTGCCTTTGCATTTTGTCCATAACTCCCGTAGTCCCTCTAGATTTTCCCAGAGGCCTTGCTGATCACTGCCCAAGGTCAGGTCCTCGGAGTACGTGTTACGTGCAAGGAGGTAAAATCCCAGGCCCATCCCCAGGGTATGCTCCCTCTCTGTTCTGGATGAAGTGGTTGTGTTTGACACTCGGGCCACTGTTCAGCTGTTGAGACACTCAGCACCTCTCATGATGTGAGCATCTTGTCTGCTCCAGCAGGGCTTTGATGAGTAGAGCTAATAATGCTTTACCTGGATCCAAAAAAGACCTTTGGTTTTGAGGTCCAGGAGTCTTCCTGGGAGCCCTCTCCCTGGAGTGGCTGTTACACTGGATGTCCCACTCCAGGATCCAGACCTGCAGACCTTGGGGCACTTAGCAGCAGAAAACAAGAGAACAGAAGCTGGCCTTGGGATAAGCTGGCCGCCAAGTCTCCCCTGGATCCCCTCCCAATGGCCCAATACTTCAGAGGCTTTTATCTTAGCTCTGATGTCCCCAGGACTCAAGTACCCTTCCTTTCCTCCCTAGATGTCAGCAGTGGCCTTGCTGCATATTTAGGTACAGCCTTGCACTTGTCCTTGTTTTTGGACAGGTGGCCATGCCACCTCCAGGACTGGGAGTGAGGCTTTCAGGTATCTCTGCAGATCCGCTCTGCAGAGCCTTCTGGGGCATGATGAGGACAGCCTCCGAAAGAGACCTGGCTTCCCTCTGCTCTCAGACTCAGGGGGAGAGTTACAGTGGAGGTGCCTGTGGGAGACCTCTACTGGGCCTGGTGTTCAGCTTTTTGAGGCAACAGATTCACCAAGTGGTCACTGATCCTTGACTAGGTCCTCAGGGGCACAGACTGACTCTGTCAGAAACCTGCTAGTAAATTCTCATGTCTGTGAGTTTCCCCTGCCGGGAATTCTGGGCTCTAAAGGGTAAAAGAACCAGATGTACCAAATGGTGCACATGCCATTGGAGCCTGGTAGGTAGAGAACAGGAGGCAGGGGAATCACGCCTTCCATGCCAGCCTTTTCTATATCTGCCTGGTGAGGAAGCAGGAGCCTGTGGCTGCAGGCCAAGACCCAAGATAAGGAGAGATGTTGGGCAAAGCTTAGCCCTCTGACTAGGCTGCCTCCACCAGTTGCCAGGCAGGAGATGTGTCTTCTTGTTCTGGGCATAGAACCCAAGTTACAGCTTAGCCTTTCGACTTACAGGAGCCTACAAGTGTGTTTACCCACTCTGCAGTCTCACAGGGCAGCAAGCCCTGAAGGGGCTTAGGGTGAGCTTAGGCTTCCTAAGGCCCCAATTCAAGCATGCCCTTAAAGCCCTAGGGGAAGGCCAGGGCCTTCCTCCCTAGGGCATTCATAGCTGGTGTGGGGCATGAACAGCTGCTTACCTCAGTGAGTAGAGATGTTTGGCTACATCTGCAGGAAGGGCAGTTCTCTAGGAAGTGCCTGCTAAGGGTTCTCACCCACTCACCTCTGTCTTCTGGCCTTTAGGAGCCTGGTACTGGACCGATGACATGGAGGACCATGAGGAGGAAGATGATGAGGACTTCCTGGCAGAGATTGCAGAGGAGGAAAATGAACCCCCAGGGTTGTGGTCTGCAGCCTATGGTGTGGGAGATGTGCCAGGGACATGGGGCCCTGATGACTCGGATTCTGCACAGACTCCAGAGGGCTGGGGATCTGACTCTGGCAATCTCGAGGTCCTGACGGAAGAGTCCGAGGAAAAGCCCTTCCTGCCTGGCCAAGAGCCAGGAATAAACTTGGTGACACCCTGGGCCTACCCCACAGTGGTGGCTGCACCAACTGGGCGGCCGGAGACCACATGTGATGTGTGTGGCAAAGTGTTCCCACACCGTTCTCGATTGGCCAAGCACCAGCGCTACCACGCAGCCGTTAAGCCCTTCGGCTGTGAAGAGTGCGGCAAGGGTTTTGTGTACCGCTCGCACCTGGCCATCCACCAGCGCACGCACACAGGCGAGAAGCCTTTCCCTTGCCCAGACTGTGGTAAGCGCTTCGTTTACAAGTCGCACCTGGTCACGCACCGGCGCATTCATACAGGTGAGCGACCCTACCGTTGCGCCTTCTGTGGTGCAGGCTTTGGGCGCCGCTCCTACTTGGTCACGCACCAGCGCACGCACACAGGTGAGCGGCCTTACCCTTGCGCACACTGTGGCCGCAGCTTCAGCCAGAGCTCAGCCCTCGCGCGGCACCAGGCAGTGCACACTGCCGACCGGCCACACTGCTGCCCTGACTGTGGCCAGGCCTTCCGCCTACGCGCTGACTTCCAGCGCCACCGGCGTGGTGGTGGCTGCACAGAGCCCGGTGGCAGTGACAGCGTGCGTCGGGAGCCCTGTGAAGCACCTGCAGCGGGGCCAGCAGGGCCGGAGGAATGTGAGACTGCACCTGAGGGACCCCAAGAGCCAGAGGCCAATGAGACAGACAAGGACCCCGAGAACGAAATGAGGGAGGAGGTGGCAGCTGCAGAGGTGCCTGCCCCTGAGAACAAGAAAGACTCTGAGTCGAGCAGACGGTTCCTGGAGATGGGCAATGGCTTGGGCGAGGGCGAAGGCCCCTCTTCACACCCTCTTGGCCTCCACTTTCCTGTGCACCCCAAGTCCTGGCTGCACCCAGATGGCTTCCAGATCCTAGGCCTTCCAGATTTCGGGGAGCGTCTGTCTGCCGATGGCCGGGCCCTGCCGGGACCGCTGGGAAGCCCGCTTGTGCTGGCAGAGGCTGCGGGACTGGGTCGAGACCCATTCAGCGGAGGTGGGGCCGGGGCCGGCTTGGGCCTGCGCATGTTTGCACCCACCGTCGGGGGGCTTCTGGCTGAGCCGGCTCCCGCTGCGATGGCTGAAGAGGAGACCCCGTGGATCTGCTCGGACTGCGGCAAGACCTTCGGGCGCCGCGCGGCGCTAGCCAAGCATCAGCGCTACCATGCAGGCGAGCGGCCACACCGCTGCGCCGACTGTGGCAAAAGCTTTGTATACGGCTCGCACCTGGCGCGCCACCGACGTACGCACACGGGCGAGCGCCCCTTCCCCTGCCCTGAGTGCGGCGCACGCTTTGCTCGTGGCTCTCATCTGGCGGCGCACGTGCGCGGCCACACTGGCGAGAAGCCATTCGTGTGCGGTGTGTGTGGCGCGGGCTTTAGCCGCCGTGCGCATCTGACAGCGCATGGGCGTGCGCACACTGGGGAGCGGCCCTATGAGTGCGCTGAATGTGGCCGCCGCTTTGGGCAGAGTGCAGCGCTGACGCGGCACCAGTGGGCGCACGCCGAGGAGAAGCCGCACCGCTGCCCCGACTGCGGCAAGGGCTTCGGCCACAGCTCGGACTTCAAAAGGCATCGGCGCACACACACGGGCGAGAAGCCCTTCCGCTGCGCTGACTGCGGCCGTGGCTTTGCACAGCGGTCCAACCTGGCCAAGCATCGGCGTGGCCACACAGGCGAACGGCCCTTCCCATGCCCCCAGTGTGGCAAGCGTTTCTCGCAGCGCTCTGTGCTTGTGACGCACCAGCGCACGCACACGGGCGAGCGGCCCTACGCGTGTGTGCATTGTGGTCGCCGCTTCTCGCAGAGTTCGCACCTCCTCACGCACATGAAGACCCACCGAGGCACTGCTGGCACGCCTGGGCAGACCGGGGCAACGACGACCCCCGTGCCGAAAGTTGAGGCACCCACCAGCGGGCAGCCGAGTGCCGGCTCTGCGCCTGGGGAACTTGGGAGCACGCTGCTGGAGTTTGCGGGCGGGACGAGCTTCGGCTCTGAGGCGGCGTTTGCGGGGCCCTCGGCCGCCTATGAGGAGAGCTAGGCCGTCGGCTCCATGCTATACTCCTCTGGCCTCCAGTCATTGAGGTTCCCTGTCCTGGGCACAGTGCCTTCCCTGGTGCAGTGTCTCCTGCTCCTTTTAGGACGTCGGGGTCCCCTCCTGCTGGCCCCTAACTCGAGAAGTGGTGTGGGGAGCATTTGGGAGCTGAACATCACAGAGGTTGGCCAGGGCAAGGCTACCGCCCAGACCCACCTAGACTGCAACATCCTCGGGTCCAAGTTGGAAGCAGAGCGGTTGGGATGGCGGGTGTGGTTTATTTATTTTATTTGGATTTCAGTTTGGCCCTGATAACAAGTGACTTTGGAGTTTGCAGTCGGGTTTGACAGCAAGGATAGGGTGAGGTGGCCGAGGGTCCAGCAGCCCGCTGCTCGGGTGGGTGATTCAGTGCTGATTTTGTGTCACCTGTGGATCTGGCTGATGAGTTCTTTCCATTCACTCATCAGTGAGAGATTCGGGGATCTGCGGGACGTCGGAGTGTCTGGGGAATTTTAAGAACAGCTCTTTGCAATGAGGAGGTGTATAGGTTTCCAAAAGGTGGGGCTCCTCCCCATCTAAGGAGATAGAGATGGGTATGGGAAGGCTTTATTCTGTCTACTGGACATTTATTTCCATCTCTCTGTAAGGCTTGAAGAATATGGGAGGAGGGGGGAGGAGGAAAAAATGCTGGAAACCAAAAGTGTGGCTTGGATGGGTGAGATGCACATATTAGCAGGGTCCACAAGGAGTCTGAAGCCTTCTCCAGCCTCACACTCACTGCTCCCATCCATCAGCACAGAGATGGGCCAGGTCTAGCTGGCAGGTGCAGTTTTTAGTCCTTTACCCTCCCATCTCATCTCTGGCAGTTAGAGGTGGCACATTCAGTAATCCTGAGTGCCCTATGCACACGAACAGATCTGGTCTCCTGGACTGCTGCTTCTCTGGGAACAGGGGGTCACATGGAGTCCTGTCCTCTTGAGGCCACTGCTCAGATAGCGTAAAACACTGAGACTGGGCCACAGGTCTTTCCCCATGTCCCACGAGAGCCAGAGAACCTCCATAGGTCCCTTTAGCTCTACTTCTGCCATTCTACACCAGAAGCAAGTAGTGTACGTGTCTAGATTCTTGTTCACATGGGTCAGTGATGACGCTGAGGACCTGGAAGCTCCCATGATGGCTGGAGGAATGGAGATCTGAGTTTGTAACACCCAGGATCCTTATGGGTGGACATCCCACCTCCAGTTAGGGCTTTTGAGAGCATTAGCCAGCAGCTGTGGCAGTGGTGGCAAACTTACAGCACGTGTGTCACAGCCAGCTGAATCATTGAAAACTAAAAGGTTCACCATCACTGAGTTGGGCATGGTTCATGTGAGGCCCCTTCCTTCTTGCTTTTGGGGCTGGGACTAGAGAACTGAGATTTTGAAGTACCTGCATTCCCTCTTAGACCTAGTTTTTCCATTTTAGTGTAGACATGGCCTTGAGGGCTGCGGGCCAGCAGCTAGGGCACTAGGGGCCGGGCAAGGTAGGAGATAGTGGGTGGGAGGTAGGACTAGCCAGGCATTGAGAACTAGCCTGGCCACATGAGGTTGCAGGTTGGGCTGGTGAGGAAGGCCGGGGGGGGGGACCTAGGAAGGCATCGGCACTGGGCCATGGCCTGTCTCAGGTGTCTCCCCTTCTTATGTTTTCTGGATCACAAACCTCCCAAAGGGCCAAAGGCTGAGGCAGCTGGGTAGCTTAGGGCATTTCAGGCACTATCGTACATGGCCCATCCGTGCAGCATTCATTCCTGGCCCTCTGGGGCCCCAGCTGCTTCTACCCTGTCCTGGATCAGTCAGCAGGAGGACCTAGCTTTAATAAAGAGTGGAAAAATAAGCTTTCTGACTGGACTCTGCTCTTTCCTTTCCTTGGTGACCAGCAATAAGGAGGCTCCTCAGGGTGCCAGGCCTGTCTTATTTGAGCAAACATGTTTCAGCTGTTTGGTTTGTTTCTTTGAGACAGTCTTGCTGTGTAGTTTAGGCTGGCCTGGAACTCATGGTGAGACTCCTGCCTCAGCCTCCTGAGTGCTGAGACTACAGACATCTGCTACCACACATAGCACGTTTTAGGTTTGTAAGAAACCTGCATGGGTCACAAGATGACGCTTGAGTCAGCCAGGATGAATTTGGCTGTGTGTTGCCTGTGCTTCCCAGGTCTTGCTGGGCTACCCTACCACTGCCACATCTGTGAAATACTTCGTCCTACATGACTGGGGTTATTTTGGCTACCCTTCTCATAGTCAAAGAGACACATACTCGAGCCTTTCCTCAAGTACCCAGCGTAGTGCAAATTTATCCAGGGCTCACCCAGTGTGTGCCAGTGCAGGGTGCATCCCCACAGCCCCAGGACACCTTCTTTAAATGAACTTGACTTTTTTTCACTGTATAGTATCCCTGCAGTCAGATCTGACTCCCATACTGCTAATATGGATTTGAAAAATACGAACTATGAAATGTTTTCTTTACAAATGTGATTTGGGGATACCACACCAGAGCAACCTAGTATTTCAATGAAAAAACAAAACCGCCTCAGAGTGGTGGGTGAATAGTAAGACCTAGTTAAAGACAGAAGGCCTTGGAAATGCTAAAAGTCCACATAGCAAATCTGAATCCCTGATATGGCTCAGGATGGTCCTACCAACCACTTTTAAGTGTGGGGGAACCCTCAATCCTATGACCATAAGAAAAAAATAGATAGCTACCTTGGTTATTTCTCTCTTGTTGCTGAGACAAAATACTGGACACCCAAAATTAAGGAAGGAAAGGCTGTTTGTGGAGGTTTCAGTCCTAATCAGTTGATTCCAAGGCAGGATGGCATGGTGAGGGGCAGCAAATCAAGGTGACAGGAGACAGAAAAGCAACAAGGACAAAAAGTTGGGGGTGGGAGAAGGAAGCTGCTTTTTCTCCCTTAAATTGTGAGCACGCTACCCACCCTTGGGTAGGTGTAGCACCCATACCATCCCCATACCCTCCTCTTGCACAGGCTCAGGATGTTCACAAAGTGAGGACCCTGGGCCCCTGCTGAGTCACTTAATGGCCAAAGTTTGCAAGTTGACCCAATGTATCAACCATAATGCCCTCCACTGCAGAGAGGAAGGAAACCCCAATGGCCTGTAAAATGGGACCTACGAAGGTGTCTCTTGGAGAGTCACAAGGCCTGAGTGTCTCCATCTCTGTTGTTTTTCTTTCCTGCCTGTATTCCTTCAACCTCTTCCTGATTCCTTTTCTCCTTTTTCTCTATTTCTTCAAACATTTCCATGTCTGTTTTCATTCTCTAATTGACTACATATGGAATAAAGAATTTCAAAATTTTGTGTTATATTTATTAAGGTTTTATGTTTCCTGTTTTTCTCAAATGTGTAAAATTTTCAACAGTACAGAAATGTGTCAGGTAACCATCTAGAGCCCCAGCACATCCAGCAGCTAGAGGCCCTGGGCACACGTCTGTGTATGTGGAAACAGTTAAAAATTAGGAATACTTTTCACATTGCTTTTCTTATTTAAATATGTATCGTGCTCATTCCTCTGAGCTGATTTTGATCCTTTTTTCCTGGTGTTTTCATTTCATTAATATATCAAAATTTATGTGACTGCGCCTTGCTTTGATATTTGGTTGTTCCCAACTGTCACTACTTTAGTGCTGCTGTGTAGAGTATATCTTTGTGCATATATCTTTGTGCAGTTACGTAGAATTGTAATATATCTGTCTATGTGAGGTTAAACCCTAGAGTGGTGTGCTAGGCCAAAGGGCGTGCAGATAGAAAGCCTTTTGCCGATGAGAAAGACCAGTCACAGGTAGGTCAGTGGCACATACCTGCAGTCCAGTCCTCAGGTGGCTGAGGCAAGAAGGACTAGAGTTTGACGTAGCAAGTTTGAGGTAGCACTGTCTCAGAAGGCGGGACAGCAAACCAGTGCACTGAAAGAATGCTAGTGGACTAACGTAGGGCATTGGTCATTTTAATCTTTATTCCTTTTAGAGAGGTGAACGACTTGCTTTTCTGTTTCTCTTTAAACATAAATTGGTTATTTATAAAACTCATGGTCTTTGCTTAGGTATTTTTAGAGCTGCCCGCATAAAATCTACCTGGTCTGAGTTCTCTTTGAGATGTTGCTCTGGCTGTTTCTGTGTTCCTGTCCTGTGATTCCCCTGTAGCCTCTCCCATGGCTCTGAAAGGGCCCTGAGTCAGACGATACATTTCCTTATGCTGGCTTCTGTGTTATTTCAGCAAAATCCCTCAGACTCCCAGAGGAGAGTGAGTACTGGCCTGGGGCTCCACTGTAGCCGGACTGGGAGACAGGGAAGAGTGGCTTCACCCTAAACCCACTGAAACAGTCTAACCTGCTAGATGTGATGACCTATGTGTGTGATTCTGGCACTCTGGGAAGCTGGGATTGCAAATTCAAGCCCAGCCTGTCTAAAAAAAAAAAAAAAAAAAAAAAAAGATTGAGACAGTAGCTCAGTACAAAGGCCTGAGATTCAGTCCCTAGTACAAAAAAACAAACCACACAAACAAAAACAAACCAAACCAAAAGTCATCTAATCCTCCGATTTAGCAACTTGGGAAACTTTTTAACTAGTGAATTAGTGAGACCAACATTTTACATAATTGTGCCTAGTGCACATTTATACACACAAACAGTGCTTTTATTGTGTCACTTATTTCAATTATTCTTCACTCCTAAGTCATGATGGGCAGAATAAAAGAGAGCTTGAATTTCTCTACCCTGCAGCTCTTCCAGCCTGCTTTCTGACTTCTTTTATCCAAGGAAAAACCAACCTTAGTCCACCCCATAGACTGAAAGAAGCCTGCTAACCATAAAAGAAGCTGCAAACCATAAAAGTGCACAGAAAAAAGTGACATGAAACAGCTAATTTGAAAATCAGAACGCTATAGAGGTTTAAAAATTAGTATCTTCCATGGCTTGTGGAGACATTGCTTGTTTAGAAAACCAGATCTTGGGGAGGAAGAATACAGAACAAGCAGCAGCCTTGGAAGTTAAATATAATGGCCTAAAAGAAAGATTAGAAGGTAGAATGTATCTCTTACGAGATAGAGAGGGGGAAAATGCAGAAATGATGACACAGAAGATCAAAACAAGAATCTTCACATTTGGCTCACAGGAATTCCAGGAGAACACAGAGAGCCATAGGTTGGGGAATTACCCGAAGTAGACGGAGCACTCCACAGTGTTCCTGATTAAAGAACACAGAATGAAAGGGCCTGCCGGGGAAGAGCAGGATGGAGGAAGAGCTGAGCTAGGTGCATTTTCTTGAAAATCCAGAACAACAGAGAAGAATGTAAAGGTTTTGAGAGTGGACAAAATCAGTCGACTGTAGCAACAAGAATAAAACTGACATCACGTTCCTCATTAGCAATGTGTGATGGGAAATTTTTATTTTGAAATTTATTAAGAAAACCTTCAAATACACTAAGTTGGAAAAAACAGTATATGGAATCCTTTGTATCCATCACTTGTCTTTGAGAATTGACAGTTTAGCTGGATCCTAGCACTCTGGGAGGAGTTCAAGCCCAGCCTGGGTAACGTAGCAGTTTAGGAGGAGAGCCTGTCTCTATAAAAATTCAAGAGAGACGGGGTTGTGGATGCAGCTCGGTGTGCAGGTCCTTGATTCAATCCCTAGTACTAAAAGAAAAAAGAATTGGCAACTCCTGCCCAAATGTACTTCATCTACATCCTGCCTAACACTCCCTGGGCCTCTCTTATTTTGAGGCAAATTCCAGACATATCATTTGGCTTTGCTAGTGTTGTGGTTTCGTCCTCCCTCCCCTGTCTTATCATCTCTGGGAGCCTCCATGATGACCCAGCGATGTGGTCACAGTGCTCCTGATGCTTCTCCATGATGCCGGCCCAGGTGAGCAGGTAGCGCCTGGCAGGTGGTAGTTCCCAAACCCCAAGTCATCTCCCAAGTGTACAGATCCCTGGAAACCCAAGTGTCCAGCTATGGTGAGTGGTGCCTCTTCCCACTTGTGTCCCCCAGCGAGTCTGCTATGGGACTTTTTCCTACCAGGAGCCCTTGCGGTGTCCTTTTGCCACCCAGAACCAAACTCCTGGCTACCAGAGCTCACACCCAGACTTAGAGCCTGTGAGGCCTTTGGTTCTGACCTCTACCACTACTTCTGCTCGGCTTTTGCATCCCAAGATACTTGCTTACTGTTAGCATCTGCCTGTCTTGTAACTAAATTTTTTATCTTTCACTGCTATGTGACTGAGGCAGTGCTGACTACAAATTTGCCAAACTTTCTTGCCCAGCCTATTTTATTCTGAGACAGGTCTTAGTAAATCACAAATTGCCCACACTGGGCTGGAGCTTGCAGTCCTGCCTCAGCCTCTCAGAGTGCTTGGATTATAGATGTGCGGCATCATGCTCAGTTTCTGTGTCATTTTTATTACTCCCCTTTGGCTTTCTTGAGTGTCTACGTCATATCCCTTTCCCTTTCTGTTTCTCTAGCAAAAATCTATGCGTTGCCGGGGGGAACTGATCCAACCAACCACATTTCACAGCTTCCCTTGCAGACACAGACAGTTCAATGTAAGGAAAAAACGCCAGTGACACGGGGCTTCACTGGGAGGTGTGCCGCTGTGCTCTTTCACTTTTTTATTTTACATGGGATGCAGATGAGATGGCTAGAAGTAGGTGTCAGCAACCATCTTTATAAATGAGGGAGCTACATGGATGTGTTAAGAACGTCTGTGCAGAAAAATAGGAGTGTGAGTCCCTTGGTAGGACCTTTGTGTGAGCCACAGACTGGTCATCTCCAGATTTCTCTTCCTTACTTTGTTGTTATGAAATCACATCCCTTATTAGCAGCCAAAGCCAATTCCTAATTGATATCTCCAACCATCCCAAAGAAAGCTAGGAGACCCTGTAGCCCTGAGATATAATTTAGGCAAACCATCAGGCTAACGGAAGTTTTCTAGTATGGATTGTGGTCATCTGTTCTGGAATACCCTCAGTGTCAGACTGGGCTACCGAAGATGCACGAGGGGGAAGCAGGGATACAGTAACTGGGGTGGGGGTGGGGGTGGGGGTGGAGTTTGCTCCAGACAGTCATTCTCCTGAATTAGGCTGCAATTTGGGGTGCAAAAAGAAATCCTAATGTGGCTGTGTAGAGAAGCAGTTCCGGGGAGGAGCTGAGGCAGCAATGGGTGCAGTCTCCAAACGGAGCCAAATTCAAGGTGGGCTGGGAAGTGGGGACACAGCCATGGTCCTGCTCAAGGAACTTCCTGGTTTGAGGGACCACCTGGCTGTGCCCAGCGGAGGCCCAATAATTTACTTGCTGCTGGAGGCCAGCTGCTGTTGTCAAGACCCTTTCTCCTCTGAAATTTGCACTGACATCTTTTCCTTAAGATTTGAGAAGCATCTAATTGGAACAGCATGGAACATGGGCAGATTTCCCAACCACCAGGAAGCAGAGAGTTCCTGGCTCTTTTGACATCTAGAGTGGGACAAGGACACTACCTGGATCCTGGAGAGTCAAACGCTGTAACATCTACTCTACCTTGGTAGCAACTGATGGGTCTTGTGTGGCTCTGATGTGAAGTCTTTCTCCTGGCAGTGTGAGCTGTGGCTCTTACATTCACACCAGGCTGGATTAAAAGAGCATGCAGAGACAGGGTGGTCTCAGTGGGTCTTAGTTACTTTTCTCCTGATGAGAAGCAAGAACCCAACACCCAAAAGTTAAAGAGGAGAAGTTTATTTTGGCTCGCAGGTTGTATAGGTTTCAGTCCATAGTCACCTGGTTCCAAGGCAGTGGGACAGGAGAGGGAGGTGTGACAGAGCAGAAGCAGCTCATGGCAGTGTTACAGCAACTGTAGATTTACCAAAGGTGAAAAACCAAGTGGCACTCGGAGAAGCTTTATTACACTGGCAGGCCAGAGGAGCTGAGTACTTCAAAGTCTGAGCCCTGATCTAGTGTAGAAAGTTACTTTTATACCATTATCGGGTAGGGCAGGAACTTTCGTGAGTGAGTGGAACTTTATAAATATGAGAACAAACTGGGAACAGTACCAGGCTGCATAGAGCTTGTACCTCTGTTACACTCTGTTTAGAGAAGCAGAAGAAACACTGCAGGCTATTGACATATTTGGGTTTTGAAACATTTTGAACTCAAAAGTTCTTCTACAGCAGCAGCAAGTAAAAAGGGAGAGAGGAAAAAGCAGGAAGAGATAAATCCTTTGAGGCCACACCCAGCGACTTGCCTCCTCCGTCCTGGCTTCATCTCCCAACATCACATTTAGCTATAAACTCCTCAGTGGACTCACCCACCAATGAGTGTCACGTCTCCGTGACTCATTCACCTCCCG